TTGATGGCGGTACTCTGGTGGCTAAAGACAATGGATGACGATATGACAGTAATAATATGACAATTACAGTATGACAATGTTCTAAGTGTGACAGTCTAACAATGACAGCGTAAATTTTTATTTTGATCTTAAAAGATTTAGAACTCTTATTTTAGTATTTTCATAATTTTTTACTCTTATCTGTGGAGTTCTCTCAATTACTTTTTAGTTATGTGTCATATATTCTACACATCAAATCTAGCTTACCTTATTATAAAGTAAGGGCAAAATCAGAAAATAAAATCAAAACTATACATTTTTAGGGTGCGCTTTTTTTAAAGCTGATTTATAAATTATTTATAAATAAAAAATTAGCAAATCTTAGGTTATCTTACTCACTTATCTTAAGCTTGCTTTTTTATTTCTCTTGGTCAAATCATTTACAAAACTATTTATCTTCTATGATTTTTTCTAAATATTCTGATCCACTCATCTCTAATTTTAATAACTTTATAAAAAATAGTTTAGTAAACAACTTATATGTTAAAAGTTAGAGTAAAATCTATAATTGGTCCTTTATTACATGCGGTTTCCCTAATTAGTCCTATATTATCAAATATTATTCAAGTGATCTTTTTTTTATGGGTATCTTTCCACAAATAGTCCTTTTTTGATCTTCTATCATGTTGGTGTTAATTTAAGGGGTAAAAGTGTAATTTCACAATGATAATATATCTTTTTTGTCATACACAATTTCAAAGGCTTTTCCGTTTGCGTCGTTTGTGAATTACAGTCGCTTTATAACCATAGTCTACTAATGTGGTCTTTCGTCAGAACCCTATCCCACAACCATAGTCATTATTTTTTGTGTTATCCACTTAACCAATATCATAACACGTCACTAAACATAATGTTGATGTCAAATTATACTTTTAGCCTTTAAATTAATACCAACACGACAGAAGATCAAAAAAAGACCATTTGTGGAAAGGTGCCTTTAAAAAAAGGACTACAAGTGTAATATTTGATAATAGAGTACTAAATATGGAAATCCCCCTATTATAAAGGATCAATTATGAAATTTTCTCTAAAAGTTACTCCCTTCATTTTTAAAAAAATCTTTCTCTGTTTGAATTTTAACAATTTTAAGAATTAAATATTTTTGTATTGACTTTTCAAAAATGTCCTTAATGAATTGATGTGATGTATAAAAATAAAATTTGATGAATATATTATTAGTGAATAGATTATATATATGATGCGAAAGGTAGAATAAGAATTAATAGAAATAAAAGTAATGTTTTATTAAAAACTTAAAATATTTTTTGAAATAGATAAAAAAAGTGGGGGGAAAAGGGAAGAATTTAAAGGAGGGATGTACTCCCTCCGTTCCACAAAACCCTTCCGGTTTTGACTTTGGGGAAAATAAGGAAAGTGTAATTTTGGTTGACTTTCTAATTTTGCCCCTGATGTGATGGGAAAAAGTAAGATGTGATAGTTTGGTTATTAGTGAAAAAGTATGATGTGATAGGTAGGGTATGAAAAAGTAGGGGTAAAAATAGTTTTTTAATAGAAAGTGGAAGTGTTTTGTGGAAAACAAAAAAAACGAAAGAGGAAGAGTTTTGTGGAACGGAAGGAGTAATATTTATGAGCAATAAAGTCAATAACTCAATAAGTAAAAATAGTACTCATCCAAGATAACTTCAAACTAGATCAAATGAATATAATAATTAAATAATACTAAATGGAAAAAAGGGTTTTTTAAGTGATGCAAAGACTAGTGGGATACATATATTATGATTTAACTTAAGATAAGACCTTGATGAAAGTACATGTCGTAATATAGATAATAAAAACTTTTTTTTGTACTCCGTAGTTAATCCAAAAGACCTTAATTATAGAGCTAATTAGATGCATGATATAGGGCAATCAAATTGGGTAGGTGCCCTAGAATTTAGTGGGCGGTGTACGTGGCGGAACAAATGGGATACAATTATTAATTATTACTGGCCATACTGGGTGGCGAACTACTTAAACCTCAATTATTCTGAATAATAGTTTGCCTGGTTGGGGTCAATCAACAACCAAATAGAGGCACCTATCACAAATATAAGAATCTCAATTAGTACCGTATAAATTTTATAATTGATTCTTTATAACAAAATGTTTTTTATATTTAAATTTTTTAAATCAATTTTTATCACATTTGTGGCTCCTTTTTTATAAGTATCTTTCCATTGATAATCTTTTTTTAACATATTATCATGTTGGCATTAATCTAATGACTAAATTTGAAATTTTACGATGATAATATATCAATCTTTATATAACCAATGTCACAGGCCGATGTTGATACGCACATCATATGACAACTAGAGTCATTGTCTCCAATCATAAACTACAAACGTTGTATCTGATCGAACTCCTAATCTATAGTCATAGTCATAATTGTTGAGTTGTTCGTCAAGTGGATATCAAAATGCGTCACTGGACATAATAAAGTCAATATTATGTATAAAGTACTCCGTATAAAAAAGACTATCCGTTGAAAGTAGCTATAAAAGAAGAACCACGTATGTAATATTTGATAATAGAGAACTAAATATAGAAAATATCTAGTTATAAGGAATTAATTGGAATTTATTTTTTACTTTATTACCATTCTGAAAATTATTTTATATGAAAAATGATTTAAAATTAAAAAATAAACTTCACATATTTAAAAACTTTTTTTTCCATTTAAAAACCATCTTCTCGATGCGTGTTGATATAATTTGATAATACTTGGTATTATTGAATTATGAAGGATACCTCCCTATATATATGGATTGCAAGAGAGAATTATAATTTAATTTATGAGAAGAATTATAGTAACAATACAATAAAGAAGTAATAAGAAAGATAATAAATAATAGTACTACGTAATATTCTATTTCCTAATACACCTATTATTTCTAATACGCGTTATGATGTTTAACTTAAACTATTTTCAAACCATTTAGTTTGAAAATTGGTGTGTAATAATGAAAAAATTTACTCTAAATAAGAGTAAAATATAGAGAATGTACCAAAATAGGGTCTGTTTTTTATCTCTAAAATAGAAGTTTACATCGTGATGATGTACCAAAATAGGGTCTATTATACATGATTGATATTGTATTTTCATTGAAATTTCTATATTAAAAATAAAATATGAAATTCTTTTTGGTACATTTTTTGTGTTCTACTCCTAATTTAGTTCTTTTATCTTTTTAAAAGAATCAATTTTATCCATGACGTTCATATATTAAAATTCGTAAAATATAATGAATATAAAAAATAGGATGACCGAAAAATACTTTTGATGTGATGTGTAAAATTAGAATGTGATAGATAAATCATTAGTTAATAAATATTGTTATTACAGAATAGGATAATTGAGTAATCAAAGTAAACAAGTGAGAATAAGTGAGAAATAAATACTCCCTCCGTCCCATAAAGTGTTACCCATTTTGACTAAAGTTGAAATTAAGGGAGGGATAATTTTGTGTTGACTTTCCAAAAATATCTTTGATGTGATTGGTAAAAGTAGGATGTGTTGTGTAGATTATTAGGAAAAAATGTATGATGTGATAGGTAGGGTTTGAAAAAGTAAGGGGTAAAAATGGTTTTTTAATAGAAATGGGTAAGGGATTGTGGGACACAATTTTTTGAAACGTGTAAATCTTTTTGGAACGGAGGGAGTAAGTGAGAATAAAAAAACTATGTTTTGATGAGAACTAAATAAGTGAGAAAATGAAAATTTATGTCTCAACTCTCAACTACCTAAATTTTTCTCATCAACAATGATGAAAAAACCCATTTTTCCTATCTTTCCATCTTTTACTTCTCTTTTTCCACCATTGTTTTTATTAATTTCTAGCACTCCAAAAACTAAACGTACTTTTTCTCACATAATCACATTCTTTTCTCTCCTTTAAATACACTCCGGTTGTTTCAAAAAAAAAAAAAAAACTCCGGTATAACTTAAGTTTTTAAAGTACTCCGTATTTCTTTCTCGCGCGATCCCCATATATATGATATTGCAGTTTTCCATTCGTTCCAAAATAATCAACTGTTTCCAAATTGAAGCTAAGCATTTAATGTTGTACTTGATGCTCCCCATATATCAACTTCAAAATGTTTGATTTTTTAGATAACACAAGAGTAATTTACCTAAATAGGATTAAAACATAATGACTTTTCCAATATAGGACCATATTTTTTTATTTCCCAATGTAGGACCTTTGGTCATTATGAAATAGTCATTATTCAAGTAAATGGCCATCATTTTTGGACATTATTCCTTGCACTAGGTCATTATTAAGTCCTATTTGAGGAATAAAAAAAGTTTAAATCCTACATTAGAAAAGTCATTATGTTTTAGTCCTATTTAGTGCAAATTTCACATAAAACAACTCACATAAGCAAATACCCCGTTTGACATCAACGTTAGAAGTTATTTGTAAATTACTACGTTAGAAAAGTCATTATGTTGTAGTCTTCAGTGTTAGCGTTTTCGGAATTGATCTACGTACACCATTAAATTTTTATCTAAAACGCTAACACTAATCGAAAATGTTATTTTCAAACAATTCAAAACCAAAGTCAATAAAGCAATTTTTTTAGTTTAAAAAAAAAGAGGATTTTTTTTAATGAATGCACACACACTTTGTTATACGGAGCATGTAATTAGATCCTAATTAGAAATTTTAGTAATATGGAGTACTATTAACTACTCCCTAATAAAATTATAATTTCTCATTAGACTTTTGTTTGTCAGAGTTTGACTTTAAATACGCAGAAGAAATATATTTTATTTTGATATAAATTCAATACCAATAGTATTTTTAAATAAACTAAAATTTTATTAAAATCATTTTATACTTAAAGAAATTGTTCCTTTATTTTTTTTATAAAATAAATCTATGTAAAGTTATGGATATTAATAGTGAAAATGTTACACTAGATTGCAAATATTTAAATTAAAAAGATTAATCGGGAAGGAGGAGTAACATTTATTTGCACTAAAGAAACAATTATTTGACACCGTAAATTTTTAGGGTCGCAAAATAAACACTTCATCTTTTTACTATTGAATGCATGGGGTTGATCGGTACGTACGTTGAACCGTGGCCATCACTGGCGGCGGCGCGTGAACACAACCTTCAAGTCGTGCTTCATTTCAAGGAGAATCGTGTCGGAAATCTCAACCGGGCGGTGGGGTTCGACCAGCTCAAACCGATAGTGAAGTATCACGGTGGCGGCCACCATCTTGACCACCGTGAGAGCCATCTCCCGGCCGATGCAGGTCCTTGGGCCAGCGTTGAACGCCGGGAACTTGAAAGACGGCTGGTGTTTGATCCCTCCGGCGGGGGAAATCCACCGCTCCGGCTTGAACTCCGAGCAGTCCGAGCCCCACACCGAAGCCATCCTCCCCGTGGAATAAAACGGAATTATTATCTTGGTGTTGGGCTCGACCACATGGCCGCTCGGGAGCGTATCCCGGGCAACGGGGACTTTGTGGTTCAAGGGTGCGGACGGGAACAGCCGCAGGGACTCGCAGACGGCGGCGTGGAGGTAAACCAGCTTCTGGCAATCTTCGGAGGTGATAATGACCTTTTTGCCCTCGTCATCACTTGGAGGGTTAATTTGTTGAAGGATTTCTTGGAGGATCTTTTCTTCGACCGAATGGTTTTTTGCGAGGAGCCAGAAGAGCCATGTGAGGGTGGAAGCTGTGTGCAGTTAATTTGTTATTCCCCTTCCCAAAAATACCCTTGGATGTAATCGGTAAAAGTAGACGTGATGGATAGATTTGTATTGAAAAAGTGTCATGTGATATGTAAGTTAAGAATTTGTAGGGGTAAAATTGACTTTTTAATAGAAAATGAGAAATTTTTTTGGAACAGATGAAAAAAAGGAGAAAAGTTTTGTGGAGGGGAGGGAGAATGTTTTTTTCCCATTGTAATACTTAAACATTTTTATTTTCTAAATAGTACTTGATTAATATAATGACCAATAATGGTGGACATTTAGTTTGAACAATATCCAATGATGGTGGATATTTATTTGAATAATGAGCATTAGACATTATTGACCAATAATACTACATTTGAAAATAAAAACATACCCGGAAACTATATCTATGTTGTAATACTATTTAAGTAAATTCTGATACCCCATACCCGGAAATTAAAAATTGCAAGATCTTTTGCTTCATTAAAAAGGGAAAGTGTGGCAATGAGATTAAACAAGGAACTGAACATACCCGTAGTATCAGAGGCTGCAATTATCAAGGTGACGAAAGTGTCCCTCAAGAACTTGACACTCTTCCCTTTGTGTGCATTGATGTGAGAAACCAACATGCTGAAGTTGGATTCGTCTTCATCATTTTGCTCGATTTGTTGTTTCCTTTCCATAATAATGGGGTTTAGGAATTGATCTAAGCCCTCCCAAGCTTCACTCAGCCTCTTCTCTCTGTCAACCCCAAACACCCATTTTTGCATCTTCCAACCCCACTCTGGGAGCACGTGTCGGTAGAGTACCGCATTCACAGCACCCCGTATCGACTCAAGAACCGGGTGGCCCTCGTTGATGAGTCCGAGGCTGCCCGGGTCCTTGTCTAGAAGCTGCATGGACCCGATGTCAAAACTCAACGTTTGAAAGACTTGCTTTAGTCCGAAGGGGGTTCCTAGCTCGACGTGCTTGTCTAGAAGTGGGAGGAGCCCCCGCTCCAGCTTCTCGTAGACGGTTCTCTCTAGGAGAGAGCGAAAGCGGGGATGGCTCATCAGGGGCATTGTCGTCTTCCGGTGAAGCTCCCACAGCTCAGAGTCTGCGTTGATCATCCCTTCCCCGAGAATGTCAAAGATTCTCTGGAAGTGGGGCCCCTTTGGGTAGTTCTTGAAGTTCTTGCATAGTATGTGGTTGATGTTAGCAGGGTCGCAGGTGACCAACATGTGCATGTTGGCAACCCACGGCCCTCTAAACTCGAATGTGCCTCCGTTGTGTACGAGGAGGTCGGTCACGTAGTCGTGGATGTGATCGATGTTTCGAAGTAACGCCGGCATCATTCCGATGACCGGCCAGTTTGTGGGAATTCGAACAACGGTACTCTTCTTGTGGCTCCTTTGATGAGACGAACCCCATTTCATCCTCCAAATATAAACCAAAAACAAAGTACCAAAGCAAATGAGAAATGCACTCAAAAGATGCACTAATAATGCTCCTTCTTGCTCTCTCAGATTATTCGCCATAATATACTATTATTATTATTATTACTGATATATATATATATATATATATATATATATATATATATATATATATATATATATATATATATATATATATATATATATATATATATATATATATATATATATATATATATATATATATATACTCCCCTCTTCCCGAATAAATGCTCTCGCTCTGTTACACACATGTCATAATTTTCATATTTTACGGAGTAAATTATTTTCATTATTTATTTATTAAAATAACATAGCTAGTGATCCATGTCGATCACCTCTTATTTGATACGTACTAAAAAAATTGATACAGTTCTGTCATATACTGATCAGTATTATATTTAAAAATAAATTGAGTTAGATTACATTATTACATTATAATTATAATATGAAAATTAATTTTGGATGGGGCAATTCAAGTGCTTTCAAGCTTCTTTGTTCTAAACAAAATCCATTCACTCCACTATTCACGAGTCAACCTTTTACGGAGTATCTTCTTTTTCAAATACTTACTACCTCCATCAAGAGGACCCGGCAAAACTGACCCGGACCCGATAACCCGAACCAATAAACCCGAAATTGAACCAGAATTGACCCGAAAAGTGAAGAACCGAAATAGAATCGAACACCCGAAATGATTTGAACTGAACCAAAACCGAACCGAATGTATTCAGACCCGATTCAGATCCGAATCCAACTTAACCCGAACCGATTAAACCCAAAACCGGTTAGACCCGAAACCGATTTGATCCGAAATTGATCAAATTTATTAATATTTCATTTATCAAATATATAAACTTGAATTGGGAAAACAAGAATTACCAATATATTTTTACATATGTTGATGTGTTTCTAAAAAACATATTTAAATTATAGGTGCAAACCATGCAACTACTTTCATGTACAAATCTTTTACTCCTTATTTTATAACTTAAGTTAAAGTATTTTTGTAGTTTATCATCTTCGAACTTAAAGTTTGACCGACATCGTCTCTTCAAATATATTAGCAAAAAGTATTAAAAATAATACATTTAAAATGTTTTTTAATACCAACAATTTGGCGATAACTTTTACTCTGTATATTTAAATTTATTATATATTTTTATACTCCCTCCGTTCCTTAAAACCATTCCCATTTTAACTTTGGGCAAAAATAAGGAAAGAGTAATTTTGATTGACTTTCCAATTTTGCCCCTGATATGATAGGTAAAAATAAGATGTTATAGTTTGGTTATTAGTAAAAAAAAGTATAATGTGATAGGTAAAGTATGAAAAAGTATGTGTAAAAGTAGTTTTTTATTAGAAAGTGAAAGTATTTTAGGGAATTGAAAAAAACAAAAGGGAACTAGTTTTGTGGAACGGAGGGAGTATATAGTTATTCAAATACTTGACACACAAAGTGAAATTGATAGTTAAATCGAAATGGAGAAAGTACGAAGTAGGATGTTAACTTAAAAGGTCGCGCTGAAAACTTTAGGAGGGAAAACTTTAGAATGTAACAATTAGTCAATTATGTAAGTGTTATTTTTTATGTATTATATGTCCGTGTTAAATAATAAAATAACTACGAAGTATATCATAAATTGACTAAATTTATTATGTGATACTATTGATTTATTAGTATTTAAAATATACATGAAATAATATAAACCTAAACTGATACGAACCTGAATCAATATAAACCCGAACCGATACAAATCCGAACCGGTACAAATTAAACCTGAACGATATAAATCCGATCCGATATAAACCCGAACCGATACAAACCCGAACCGGAACCGAAACCAAACCGAAAACCAGTCAAACCGAAATAAACTCAGAACCGAACTGACCCGAACCGATTATAACATATATACGAAAGAGATCCGAACCGGAACCGAACCGATTGACCCGATTGCCAGATTATTCAAGAGTATTTGACAATCAAAGTTGATTAACTTTGACGATTAATTAATTAAAGTTTATATTACAAGCTAATACAAAAATTATTTTGTTAAATTTATATTACAAAATATTTTCAAAATATTTTTTATCTAATTAATATACGTTGTTATTTTTATTTTATTAACATGTTTATGTCTTCTCTTATTTTATGATGAATTTGATGTAGTTTTTTAATTAGTAGATAAATGTATATTGAAATTTACTATAATTATTTTAAATTGAAATTTGTATTAAATAGGACTAAAACATAAATCATTTCCCACTGTATGACTTGAACTTTTTTATTCTCTAAATAGGAGTTAATAATGACTAGTGAGAAGAATAATGTCCAAGTGATGCTCGACATTTAGTTGAATAATGACTAATAAATAATGAACAATGGTCCTACATTAGAAAATTAAAATATATGGTTCTATATTGAAAAAGTCATTATGTTTTAGACCTATTTAAGTAAATTACCCCTATTTAAATGAATACCATTCAACATAAATTCAGATAGACACCATGAAGTACTTGTTCATAAATTCAGATAGACACACCCGCACGGGTAGCCCAAGTGGCAAGCACTTGGTGAAGTTTGGAGAATGACCAAGGATCGAAACCTGACAGCAACCGTGTGGGGGCGACCACCTCTGAAAAATGGGAGGAGTCTCTGGTGCGCACTAGGATATGGTTTAGCTAAGTGTTGTGCTTGGGTCACCGTGATTTACCTCCTCTCACATTCCCGTCGGGTCGGGGGTGAGGGGCGCCCGGGGTGAGCGATTTCACCTTTTTGGAGAATAAATTCAGATAGACACTATGGAGTATTTATCTACACGTGGTTTAGGATTAAGTACATGTGTGTGGCAATGGATAAACCACGTATGACATTTGTATTGGTCCCTATAGTACTACGTAGTTGTACGTACGTGCCTCAGCTAACCCTATGTGTACCCCAACATTTATACCCCAATTTGTACACTGCAGGTTTGCACTAACATTTTGTGTTGGTGTAAAACTAATTTTTGTTAACGCACGAATATTTGTGTCCGTATACATTTTTGTTAACGCATAAACACTTGTGTCAGTGTAAACCATCAAAATGTTTATGCAAAACTATGGTGTACAAGTGGGGTACATTTCTTGGTATAAGTGTAGCATAGTCCTTTAATGTTTAGTATAGTTACCTCAAAAGCTTTGCCTTACTTAGGCAGCGTTCTGCTCAATTTACTTTTTCTGCTTTGTACTTAAATTTATTAAAATCAGATCCGATCAAATCAAACCAAATCAGATCATTTTCAATCAAATCTGATCAGACTAAATCTAAACATTGTTATTATTACTATTATTGCCACTATTATTAGTATTATTATTACTATTACTATTAATATATATTATGATTATTATTAGTATTTCACTTTTTAGAACATACAATCCCTCTCTAAAAAAAATTCTTCTTTCATTTTCCACTTGTTCCAAAAAGCTTTTTTCTTTAAATTAATTGGATCTAACATAACGTAAACGTATCCTATCAGTATCATCATTATCCTCGAAAAGCAAAAACATGGAATGTTTTTAGGTACAAAGGAAATACTCCATATAGTTATTATATGTAAACAATGATATTAATGATTAAAGTATTACATTGAAAATTATAAAAAATCAAATGAGAAGAAAGATATAGTTAGAAGTAGTATGCTGGGTTCCATCCCACAATGAAAGAATCAATTAATTAAATTCTATCTCATACAAAGAAAGTTGAAACACAATCCATTGACTTAATTTTTTTGTTTGGAAATGAATCTGAATTTTGTATTAGTAAAAAAATAGTCACACATCTGAAAGGAAGGTTTAAGGGTGATAGAAACCACAAATTTTACGAACGGAGTACAAAAAGTATTTCAAAAATCGAGTGGCACCTAACTATCACCGTACTAGAGCGTCATCGGAACCTTGCCCTAATACAAAAAGAAACAATGATTAGGCCAAGCACCAATGGACATACTCCGTAATTGGGATAAATCTGCACCAAACCCTAATCCGCCACCTTTGGTGTTAAGCATATTTTAATCATTCCCCATATTGTATTTTGTTTTGTGTTGAAATAAAACGTGGGTTAAATTAAGATCTTGAAGGTAAAATCATGTGATGCGAATGAAAAATTAACTTGGAGGTGCAATTGAAGGGGGCGGGAGTGTGTGCGAGTCGGGCCGGGTGGAGAATTTACCAAGGATAGGAACCGTTAATTTTACGTGACACCAGAGTACTTCCGGTCATCCCATTACATTGATTTCCAGAATCATGTGAATCAAAGGGTTTAAATAATGACAAAATAAAATTTGAAATACACAAATGATAAATTTATGTAATTTAAGTGAATCAAAGGAGTATTACTCATCTTATTGCAAGAGAAGTTCTTGTTGGTGTGATAACCGGAAAGGCAAACATCAGTATTAATGGAAAGGGGCCGACGAAATTTAATTGAAGTACTAGGGTTAGTGGTTGTATTTATACTATTTAAGGTGGATTAGGTGCATCGTACATGTGAGAATGTGACTAAATTAAACTTTTTAATTCTTTTTTAGTTGTTATAATTAAAGGATATGCGACATGTCTCCATGAATGACAATATACACAATTTTATATCTGTAGAATTGTAGAAATATTAATTACTCCTGTCCGAAAATGTTCTTTACATTTGATATTTTTTGGTCAAAGTTTATTAACTTTGACTACGATTTGTAGAAAAAACGCATTGTATTATGATATAAATTTAATATGAATATATTTATTTCAAAATATAGTTTTCAAATATCAAATTTTTATAAAATATATCCATGTATAAATAAAGATATTAGTGATCAAAGTGCAATATTGGGGACCGTAAAAAGTCAAATGAAAAGAACATTTCCGGACGGAGAGAGTATTTATATTCTTATTCATGATTCAATATCATATGTATATATATATAACCATCTGTATTTTTAGTACATCCCTTGTATAGTCGTTTTGGAATTACAAATATTTGAATACTCATTTCACACATTTCTTTACTTTAGTATTTATTCAAAACATTTCATTAATAAAAATAATTATATTCAGATAAATAGTTTTACAAAAACATTATATATACACACACACACTCCGTATAACAAATCTCATAAGATTCATATTTTTTGAAATGATTTTTTTCAAAATGTAACGTAAAATTGAAAATTACTTACACATGGTTACATATCCTAAATTTCATTTAAAAAAATACTCCGTAGGAAGAAGGACTAAGAGAGATGCACTACTACAAAAAGGACGAAATAAAATAAAATAAAATATTCATGTTTTTATTCTCATAATAAAACCTATATGTAATGCTAATAATTTCCACTAATATTATTCCCTCCGTCCAAAATTAAATTGCATATTTATTACTATTCACATGTTCAAATTTTTGTCATTTGTTTACTAATTTTTTTTAGTTATTTGATAAAATAAACTTTTCATATCACCACTAATAATTTCATAGATCTTTTGATGTAGATTTTAAATATATAATTTTTATTTTTTTAATTCTACATCGTATTTTATATAAAACAATTTAAAAATAATTTCAGTCAAAAATCATAAACTAAAACAGACGATTTAAATTGGGATGATGGGAGTACCAAATAAAGGTGTTCAAGAGTACAAGTGTACAACCAAATAAAAGTATGCACGTTGAATTTTCATGCGTCTATCAATTTATGTATTAAATGAGTATTATTTTATTTGTAAATATACATATGCTATAAATACAGTTCGAGTAATGAGCGCATATATATATGTATATATATATATATAGCGATTGACTCCAATGAGATGACACCTTATAGTGAGATGACATGCTACGGTCAGATGACGCAAAGCTCACCTCGAGCCACTGCAAAGCTCACCAAAGTATAAAGCAAAGTTCACTATTTTTTTTTCAACACTTTAATTTTTTTTTTGAAAAAATAAAATCAAAGGAAGGTGTGCTGACTAGATTGTAATCGTTGATCGGGACCTTTGACCGCCGCCGCTCCGCCAGCGCTGCACCGCCGCCTCTGACCGGTGATTGACCAGTGTTTTTATTTTATTTTCTATTAAATTCTAAATTTTCAAAATTTAAAAAAAAAGTGAGTTTAGGGGTTCAAAATGGTGAGCTTTGCTTCATTTCTAGGCGAGCTTTGCATTCTCCATTGGTGAGCTTTGTAGTGTTGTGCGGTGAGTTTGGCGTCATCTCACTGAAGCATGTCATCTCACCGTAAAGTGTCATCTCACCGTAAAGTGTCATCTCACCGGAGTCAATCCTATATATGTGTGTGTGTGTGTAAGTGTATGTGTGTGTGTGTATATATATATATATAGAGTTTGGTTCCAGTGAGAATGAAATCTAATGAAAGAAATAAGAATATAATAGGACCGTGCGATTTTGCTGATATCATCACGTGAGAAAGAGTTTCAAATCTTTTGGTGAAGGTGTTTATAGTCATTTGCTTTTTAACATTATCTCACGCACAACTAGCCCAACTAAATATGGATCATTCCCTAATTTTTAACATTATCTCACGGACTTGTATGCAAAAAAAGTACGTATGAAATAGAAAATGCATTAGGATAGTTAAATAAAATAGAATTAATTAATATTTTAATATAATAATGACCATTTCTTTATCCACGTGTGTAGTCTTTAATTATTGTTATGTAATTCCTACTTGGTAAGTGTGGATCAAATGAAGGATGCATTTCTTTTTTTTTAAAGATCACAATCTTGGTGCAATTTCATTAAAAAATGACACTTGTGCCCTTATTAATTGTCTCATTCCTAATTTATAGCACACTACTCATTACTTAACATAATTAAATGAACCCAGTCATCATATGTGCTGGCAAATCTGGGCCATTTAATTGAACTAATCTAACGCATAAGAAATATTCTTATTTCTTTCACTAAGCACCATTCTTACAGGAACCAACCCATATATATATATATATATATATATATATATATATATAAAAGTCATTTTCCAATATAATACTTAAACTTTTTTTTTCTATTAATAGTACTTAATAATGTCTAGTGGGAGAAATAATGTCCAGTGATGATGGATATTTACTTGAGCTAGTATCACACCCGTGCGTTGCACGGGTCATTTTAATGTTATTAAATCCAAATCATTTTTTAATGATAAAAAATGATAAGATGCAATAGAATATAAAGATTATATTATTATAAGGTACAAAACATCACTGCTTTACAAATTTCGAAAGACTTCTTTAAAGACTACATTATTTGTACCATTTATGGAAATATTGTCTTCATTGTATATCAAAATTTTCAACTCACTACAATTAGTTACTCTTGAAACTGCAACATAGAGTTGTCCATGACTAAAACATGTTGGATTATTGTTACGAAAACATGTGATAAACCCTAATTGCTCGTAGCTTCATTATTAACATTGATGGCCGCTCATCGACATTTTTCAAAGCAGTTGAAATCCCCATTTTTCATGGGAATGTCAGTTTTGAAACGTAGGGGAAAAATTCACGATGAATGTAATAGTTATGAAAGCTTTGTAAGGATTTGTTCTTTAGGACTAGAAAAAAATAGCTGGATGTGGGAAGAAACTGGATGAAACTGGAAGAAATAGAAGAAATTGGAAGAAACGGGAAGGAACTGAACGAAACTGGAAGAAACTAAAAGAAACTAGAAAGAACTAGAAGGAATTGGAAGTTAAGAGTTGAAACTCTAAAGAACAGGCCCTAAATGGATGTATTTATAAAATGATTTTAGCATACGGGGTTAAAAAATTTATTCATTTTTCAAAGTGCTAGCTTTAACGAATTTAAATTACTATTACTATATTTAACTTATTTAATTTATTATATTTAAAATTACTATAAAAATGACACGGTAATTAATACAGAGTATTAAATAATGTAGTCACACGGTTATATAATTAATACCGTGGTCAATTATTGCCTTTTTTATTAATACCTTTCTTGCTAGTATAATTTCGAAACCGAAACCGACCCGAAATTTTGATCGGATATTTTTTTTTTGCCTGAACCCAAACCGTCGGGTATAAATTTCTACCCGAACCCGAACCCGACTGCCTAAACCGAAACCCGAAACCGCAACCGAACCCGAGAATTTGACAAAAACCTAAGCCCAACCCGACCTGAAAACTGACCGACCCGACCGACTGACCATACCAATATCCTAATAAATCAGTTTTTTCTAATGATTTTTATTAAAATAATGATAAAATAATAAATGCAAGTAATGATATAAATAAAATTCCAATACATAAAAACATTTGAACGTTCAAACACATCGTAAAATTAAGATATTAAAAAAGATGTGTCCCAAATAACAACCAAAACATGGAAGTATAACAAGTTTTCACAAATATTTCACAAGAGAAACAACACACATAAATATAACAAATTTTCACAAATATTTTTCAAGACCGTAACCGGGAACTCCCGTAAGTCAAAGACTTATAATTGAAAAAAGTTTTTTTATATTTTAAAATGGCCTTTTATTTCGGGTTAATTATCGGGTTGGTCGGGTACGGGTCGGGTCGGTCAATTTTAATTACCGAAAACCGACCCGACAAAAGTCGGGTTCAGTTTTAAAATCTTCGGGTCGATTTCAGATATTTATTTTTTCGGTCGGATTCGGATATTATATACTTCGATCGGGTCGGACAAAATCGGATTCGGATAAAATTGTCATCCCTAGTTTTGGGTTTAATCAAATTATCAAATGGTGTTGTTCTTTTCGAAACGTGAGTGAAAATGTGAAATGCAAACGTACGTCAGTATTAATGGAAATGGGCCCCCGGAATTTAATTACGCCTTGTAAAGTATGGGTACAAGGTTGGAAAGAAAGACCAAAGTAAGAAACATTAAATATATACCAAAATAAGACTTGCATGTTTTTATTCCCGAAATAGGACTTACATTCTCAAACCTGGTCATGTACATTACCAAAAAAGTATAGTAATGTGCATATGTACAGTGCCACATTACCACAATGCAAAGTCCTATTGTGACACCATCTGACCATGAATTAAATATAGTTTAAAGTAATTAAATGTTTTAAAAATTTGATATTTCAAAACTATGTTTTAGAAAAAATATAAATGTACTAAATTTACATTATAACCAAATATGTTTTATCCATAATTTGTTGTCAAAACATGATTCAAATTATCTTCTCATTCACCCCTCCTAAAAAGTAATGGCGATTTCGAAAAATCAACTCTATTTTTTCTTTTTCTTGAATATGTCCAAAAGTCAAAACTGACAATTTAAAACGGGACGAAGAGAGTAATATTTATCAAAAAAGTGTAGAAACAATAACTTACCATTGCATGGCATGCCGCTCCTCTCATTTGTCACACGTTGACTGAATTGTATTTGATTACATGAAATGTACCACAATGAGTGGCATTCGAGCTCTTTACTTGTCATTGTTGATGCTATTAAGATGATTATCTATGCATTAATTGCATTCTATTATACATTAACCATCAATCAGGTCACATGAAGAGGAAATCCCATAGTAAACTGTTGAAAAAGTGTCCCAAAATTAAAATCAACGAAAGAATTTGGACAACAATGTGTCGATGTTTGAGAACCCTCACTCATCTTTGCCTTGGATTTCAGTCACTTCATCACCAACATCGCCATTATTTTTAGATTTACACTCTTCAACCTCCGAAACGCTTTCAAACTTACGTTTTAGATCTACGTATGGATCATCGCAGACGTCGAGATCCATGCTGGATCTAAACATCAAAGCTCTTGCGTGTTTGGAGGAAGAGGGTGAGGGCTAATTAAGAACAAATGAGAGATGGGAATGAGAATAGACAATGAAGACAAGGTTGGGGATAGTTGGGATCATAAAGCATGTGGAGTTAAAAGGGATAGAAGGGTAAAGTAGTAATTATACCTTTTTAAACTAAAAATAGAAAGAGGAATAAAATTTAGGGATGACCCGAATAATAAAGAACGAAAATCATTTTGGAACATAGGGAATGACACCCTAATACGGAGTAGATTAATACTTCGGTTAATCCAATTAAGAGAAGAACATTAGAAATACAGTAAAGCCAGGGTAACCCCAAATGAGTGACCCCATGCTTTGCATAGACTCGCTTATCGTCTATACGGTGCACATGATTATTGGTCTATGTAAAGCACAGGGTCACCCATGTGGATTTACTTAGCATGGTCCTTAGAAATACACATACCTTGTAAGATTTAATTTATCTCAAACCAGGTCATGGTTACTTAACCAATAAGTTTAAAAAGCTACAAATGAATCACCAAAAGAGTTTTACAGTGATCCGCCATATATAGGTAAAACAAAATGTACACTTGTCGTACAACAACTATAACTAAAGCCGAGTAGAATCCCACGAGCATGTGATATGGAGAGGGTGTGTGTGTATGCAAACTTTACTCCTACTCGAAAGTAGAGAGGTTGTTTTAAGGCTTCAAGGTACCCATGTCATACAAGAATATCAATAGAGCAATGGATATTTAACTCACTAGTTGGGTATAGACAAATTGCTCAAAGCATTGGTTTCTAGCCCATTTGGTAAATGGAGAAATTTAACAGAAATGATACAAGTTACTGAATATGTGAGTGAAATCATTGAACTTGCTTAAGGCTTAATTATCAAAAAGACCATTCATATCTATATTTTCTGGGTAAAATAAACAATGTTAATGTATAAAATAAAAGGTAAGAATTTTTATTTTTATTCACTTCAGCTAACTCCCAACAAGAAGTGTTTTCTACATTACCAATTAATGAATTGAGTGTTTGCAATGATATTACAAATTTTGATGGTAATTTTAGTGTCATCGGATATTTTGTGATTGGGATTACTTAGATCAGATAAGAACCTGGATAGACATTGTCAAACAAGTTAGGAGGTGCGGAGTGCACACTCATTCAATGATATTACAAATTCATAGCGGGGTACAAGGGGAAAAGGCTCAGACCGGATGTTATTTCTTTATAAAAATCCTTTAGATTTTCGTCAACAGAGTCCAAAACCTTAAAGATTCAGACGTATGGATAAAGCATCAAATTTGACCCTAAAACCACAGAAAACTATTTGGGCAAACACTCGTAGGATTTCCGTGTCTATCTCTACGCGCGAACGTTCATGTCTGATATCCTATTCTCGACTCTATAAAAAGAGTCTCTCGTTGGTATGGTTGAGTAACGAATTCGAAGTGCTTGTTCTTCATTAACGTCTTAACCTTTTTAATTGGTATACCCAAAATAACTTTGATTTGAAAGCGCTTATCCTCAGAACAAATTTCTAACAGATTTTCTCTAGTATCAATCAAAAAGGTACTAAATTTCAAAACTGAAATTCAATTCAGTTCAACACTTTTGAGCAAAATTAAATGGAGTAACTAACTTCCAACTCAATTAAATTCCTTTCTGGTTAAAGTTCAATTCTGTTCAATAAATTCAAGTCGAAAGAACAGTTCAATTGATCCAAGTGAGTAACCATGGAAGAAGAAGCTCATGAGTAGAGTCAAGGAAAATTACCAAAAAGCTCATAGCACTTGCCTATCAGCAGCATCTGCAACAAGGGGCAATCTGGGAAGTTGGCCCATCAAGCAAGAAGACGACCCGTAGATCAAGCAGACCAAGAGGAAGAAGAAAACAGTGCTGTCGAAGCTCATCATCAGACCCGACCCGAACCCGTCTCCCGGGTCAAAGCTCCGATCCAAAAGATCCGGGACAATCAGGAGCACATCGAGCGCAATAGCCTGCATCGTGTTGAACCTCACATACCTGCTGAAGTTCCGGTTACGGACGACGACGAAGTAGAGGGTGAAGAACACCAGAATCCCGTTAATCGGGGTGCTCTTGAACACCCGGATCGCCGGGACCAGAGGCTGAATCAGAGCTTGAACCGCCGGGAACTGGGCCACCACGTGCCTCCCGTACTGGACGCCGTCGAAGAAAGGGTAGAAGTAAGTGATGGCGGAGATCAAACGGTCGGGACCATCCGCCGCGTCGCTGCCCTTGGATTGAGCCCGCGCCGGAGCTCCGGCCGGTCTCCTTATCAGTGATATGTACGGCTGGTGTTGCCGGCGAGAAATGACGGTGGGTCTGGGCCAGAACGGTTGGGTTGCGGGGGATGACGATAAGAAAAGATCGGATACGGCCATTTCGTTGATTTCTGAAGGAGAGCAAAAATCTTTCCAGTCGTGTTTGACAGAGAAGAGGCGAGATTGGTGGGCCGGGTTACATGCAAAATGTTCTTTGCTCCGGTCCGCGTAAGGATGGTCCAAATGATTTGAAACGATTACTGGACTCGGAATTTTATTGTTTACTCCGTGCGAGATAAATAGCCCAATCTCTGCCATAAAAGGTTGTCCACACATTTGAAATTATTTTCTATTCATTTAATATGAAATTTATTTTTGAAATCAAATATAAAATTTATATATTTCAAAATTACATCTAAAAATCTAAAAATATAATAACAAGACGTAACATGATTATATTATTTTTTCAAATTAGTATCAAAAAATAGATAATGCAAGTGGTTAAAAATTGACATTGTAAATGGTGGACATAAAATTTAAATTGAGATCTAATTCAATTTGTAGTGCTAATATAAAGTTGATGGAGTACATTTTAATGTTTTGACACTTCACAAAATATGTTTGGAGAACTGGGAATGGTTGGGGTTAGAAAGTAATTGTTCGATTTCATCTTAATCTAGTTTTATTATTTTGGAGTGCAAATCAATAATGTTATGTTTTAGTTGTGTGTGAATTTCTTGTATTTCTCCTAATGGCATTCTTATTGCTCATTCACTCACTAGGTGGGGAGTGACTCCGCCGGGTGTTTGGGTGGATTAAAGTGTGTTGTTTGGGATTATAAAATTAACTTTCAACTAATTCTAACTCTTTTTAGTTTTTTCTTGTTCTTTTATTTTTTTTTCCAAAAACAACTTAAAAACATTATTTACAAATGATGAATATACATTAATATCATATATTTAAATTTATAACATTCAACTTTCAATACTGGACAAAGATGAATTCTTTTTCATAAATTTCTTTCAGTTTTTTTAATTTCTTTTAATTTTTTCCAATTTCAACTTCAGGATTCCAACCGAAAACAACACGCCCTTGAACTCGATGACATTGGAATTGAGTATAGAACGTACAGTTCCAAACCCAAATCTATCCAAACTTGTTAAATCAGAACCTTAATAGATGAACTCAAACTAAACTTGACCGACTGATTTATGCGCTCTCTAAATGACACAACCAATTTTCATGATTCAAAAAGGTGGAACACCCACCCCTGGCGCTCCCACACCGGCACACCCAGCCCGACAATATTGTGAGGGGAGTAAATCATGACATAATATCAATCTGGTTTGTAAGAGAGGCCGCTCCGTGACAAGTGCGCACAACGAGCTATTATAAATATAAAACTCTCGCACTCCAACTTTCAGGGGTAATAGCACAGGTGCCTCCATGGTTTACAAAAGAGGCATCAAAACCCCATATATTTTCAAAAAGTTATTAGTAAAATCCAGTGGTTTTTAAATTATGCATACACGCCCCTCTTGCATATTTTAGAAATAAAATGACAATTATGCCCTTTGTTTTCTGTATCTTCAAGTTTCACTCTCTTATTCACATTTTTTATCATACAAATAAATAAAATAAGATTTATGCCCTCTTTCTCAAATTAAAAATTTTCATTTATTTATTTTTCAAAAAATATTTTGTTTAGAAAATGTTACAAAATAAAATAAAAAATTAAAAATAGAAATAAAATACCCTTTTTTACTATAAGTAAAAGTAAAATAAAAAATAGATAATAACATATACTCACTAAATCTTTAATTAAAAATTCCAACTTATTTGTTTTCTAAAAGTAAAATAATTTTTTTAAGAACTTTAAAAAATGAAGAACAGAAATATGAAATAAAATATGGAGTTAAAGAAAAATATTGTGTTTTATATTTTTCTTTCTTTTCATTACTTTTTTCAATTATTTTTTTACTTCGTACATAATATTTTATTTTTCATGACCATTTTTTATATTTTTCTTTCATTTAATTACTTATTTCAATTATTTTTTTAACTTCGTACATATGATTTTTATTTTTCATTTTCTTTTGTAACATTTTCCAAAAATATTTGTTTTCAAAAATACACAATTGAAAATTTTTAATTCGAGATGGAAGCATATATTTTATTTTATATATTTGTATAATAAAGAAAAATAAAACAATGAAAATTCAAGATAGAGGAAAATAAAGGACATAAATATTATTTTTGCTTTAAAAATAGGTAAGAATGGCAATTGTGCTCTATTTAGAAACCAAAGGAATTTTAAAAGTAGAAGGGGTTTTGATGCCTATGATTTTAGGAAGCCTCCAATTTTCAAGATTCAAAATAGGATTAAACTATTTGTATCCCAATTTGTACACTGCAGATGTACACCTTCGTTTTGTGTTGGTCTAATGTTAAGATGATGGTTCACACAGACATAAAATATTAGTACAAATTTTTTTTAACGCACTAGCATTTTGTGTCAATGTAAATAATCAAAATGCTAATATATACTTTTGACATAACTTTAATAACACTTTTTGTGTAAGTGTAGCATGATTTTCAAGCATGCTACATGTACCCCAAAATTTGTACCACATTTATACACCAAAAGTATACCAACATTTTGATGGTTCACACTGATACAAAGTGTTGGTGCGTTAACAAAAGTTTACACTGACACAAAGTGTTGGTGCGTTAATAAAAATTAGCATTACACTAATATAAATAATGATGCATCCCTGCGGTGTATAACGTGAGGTACAAATAACATTTTCTTTGTTTTCAAAAGAATAATGTTATTTGAACCCCAAGAATTTGTACCACATTTTCAAAATGTGTACTTCGTATATTAGTAGCGAACTTAACCAAACTACACTAGTACGATGTAACTTAAATACCAGCACTAACCCCTACTGTTTCAAATAAAAGCCCTTGGGCCCCCTTTTCATTAGATTTTAGTCCTGACGTTTATCTTCCACTTTTTTTTTTGTGTGGAAATGTTTATCTTCTCCTTCTCTTTATTTATTTAAGATCATGATAGGAATCCATCATAGTAAGAGAGTGTTTGGGAGTGATTAACTTGTAAATAAAGTGATATTTACAAAAGCTGAAAGCAAAATCACCTCATACCTGCTTCCCTGAAATAGTGTTTTATGTACAAATTAGTGGTGGTGAAAAACAGAAACTGACATCCCAAACAGAATAAAATCATTTTCATTCAAAGCAGAAGCTAAATTATTAAAAGCAGCGCACTGCCAAACACCATCTAAATCATAAAGGATAATCATAAATAATACACACACACACTCCGTATATAGATGATAATCACATGTAGACACAGACCATTATCGTTTTTGTTTATATAAAATTATTTGTAATTGTCATTCATGAGAATATTTATGGTAAAGTTTTAGCAATTTTCATTTATTTGTTAAATTGACTTGTTCTCTTTATGGTATAACTAGTTTGTCGGTGAAAAGAAGTATTACTACTTCGTACTAGGGTTACGTAGACAACTTCATTAATTATTTAATTATAATCTCATATATCAAGACTACTTCTAAATATAGTTTAAAATAATTAAATATTATAAAAGTTTAATATTTTAAAATTATACTTTAAAATAAACCAATTTTTACTAAAATTATATTATAATTAAATATATTTTTTCTATAACTTATGATAAAAAAGTGTCGACCAAAAAAATCAATCTCTATTAATCTTTTAGGGACAAAGGGTATAACCTTTTTGAAACAGTAAAACAAGTATTGTATATTATTAAAAGTGAAATAAAAAATCATACTCATATTTTTCAAAACTAAAACAAAATATTTCTAAAAAAAGAGTGGTCAAATATAAAAAGTGAACAGTCTCCTGATTTTTATCACACTCGTATCTCTAAAAAGTTGTCTTAATTTCACTTTTATTTCTTCACCATAAAGGGGGAGTATACTCCCTACAACCGTATATAAATTGATGAACAGCAAGTTAAGCAATAGAGCAATAATACACAATAAAACATTATGGCTATTCTTATCAAAGAACAAGAAGGTGCATTAGTGCTTGTTTTGAGTGCACTTCTCATATGCGCTGGTACTTGGTTTTTGGTGTACATTTGGAGGATGAAATGGCGGAGTGCCCAAAGGAGCCAAAACAAGAGTGTTCGTAACCCCACCGACTGGCCGGTCGTCCGAATGCTTCCGGCAATAGTTCAAAATGCCGATCGCATCCACGACTACCTCACCGACCTCCTCGTACACAACGGAGGCACGTTCAAGCTTAGAGGGCCGTGGTTTGCCAACATGCACATGCTCATCACCTGCGACCCGGCAAATGTCAACCACATACTCTGCAAGAACTTCAAGAACTACCCGAAGGGGCCCCACTTCCAGAGAATCTTCGAAGTTCTCGGGGAAGGGATGATCAACGCCGACTCCGAGGTGTGGGAGCTCCATAGAAAGACGACGATGCCTCTGATGAGCCATCCTCGTTTTCGCTCTCTCCTCGAGAAAACCGTGTCCCGCGCCCTGGACCACGGACTTTTCCCCATTCTAGACAAGCACGCCGAACTAGGAACCCCCTTCGGACTAAAGGAAGTTTTCCGAAAGCTGGGTTTCGACATTGGGTGCATGCAGCTTCTTGACAAGGACCCGGGCAGCCTCAGCCTCGACGAGGACGAGGGCCACCCGGCTCTCGAGGCGATAAGGGCCGGGTTGAATTCGATTCTCTACCGACACGTGCTCCCAGAGTGGTGTTGGAAGCTGCAAAAATGGGTGTTTGGGGTTGACAGAGAGAAGAGGCTGAGTGAAGCTTGGGAGTGCTTAGATCAGTTCATAAACCCCATTATTATGGAAAGGAAACAACAACAACAACAATTTGGTGTGAATGAAGATGAATCCAACTTCAGCATGTTGGTTTCTCACATCCAGGCACACCAAGGGAAGAGTGTCAAGTTCTTGAGGGACACTTTCGTCACCTTGATAATTGCAGGCTCGGATACTACAGGTATGCTCTTTCGAAAAATGAACTCAACCAAAAACTCAACTTTGAGACTCTAGCGCTAGAAATATTTTTTGTATTCTAACATGTTCTTTGCAAATCCGCCTCGTATAGTCAAATTACATTTTCTTTAATCATATATTTTCATTGCTTGATCATTTAAGAAAAAAACAAAATACTTCCTCCGTCCCAAAAAGTCTGTCACGTTTTGAAAAATTTGCGTCCCTTAAACTCCGTTTCATTTCTATTAAAAAAACACTTTTACCCCTTACTTTTTCATACCTTATATGTCACATCATACCTTTTTTTCCTAATAATGTCCCAATCTTTTTGGGAGCTCAAGTGACCCTACAAGCTAAGCAGGTTCAACACTGACGTGGCTCTTCTGGCTCCTCGCGAAGAACCCTAACGTCGAAGAAAGGATCCTCCAAGAGATCCGGCAACAGATTAACCCTCAAGAAGACGACGAGGGCAAAAAGGTAATTGTCGGCGCCGAAGATTGCCAGAGGCTGATATACCTCCACGCCGCCGTCTGCGAGTCCCTGCGGCTGTTTCCGTCCGTGCCCTTGAACCACAAAGTATCCGCCGGTCGAGATACGCTCCCGAGCGGCCACGTGGTCAAGCCTAACACGAAGACAATAATGCCGTTTTATTCCACGGGGAGGATGGCTTCGGTGTGGGGCCAGGACTGCTCGGAGTTCAAGCCGGAGCGGTGGATTTCCCCCGCCGGAGGGATCCAGCACCAGCCGTCTTTCAAGTTCCCGGCGTTCAACGCCGGCCCCAGGAGCTGCATCGGCCGGGAGATGGCCCTCACGGTGGTGAAGATGGTGGCCGCCACCCTGATACTTCACTACAGGTACGTGCTAGCAGAACCGCATCGCCCCGTTGAGATTTCCGACTCCATTCTTCTTGAAATGAAGCACGATTTGAAGGTCGTGTTCACGCGCCGCCGGTGATGGCCGCGGTTCAACTACCTACGTACGGATCGTCCCCATGCATTAAGTAATGCCTTAAGAACTTTGTACCTCAAATAAAATTTGTACTTTTCTTTGGATCTCTTAGCTACACTGGTTATCAATGTTTGTCCTTCAGTTCTAAAATAACCCTTCCGTGTTTACGAGCTTTGACCGATTTTGTTTTCAATTCAATTTATTTGATTGTAGGTGTAAAATTTAAAAATAAAATTTACATATTTAAAATCTACATTAAAAATTATACAAAACGAGATATGACAACACTATATTATTTTATCAAATAAGTAACGAAAATAGGTAAAGAAAGTGATTTAAGTTTGATCGTGTGAATAATAATTGAAAAGATACTTTTAGGACGGAGGGAGTTGAAAACTTTACTCAACTTTCTCAATTATGGAATCATATGTTTTATTTTTTAATGTATGAACATTGGTCAATATCAATTAGTCATTGTTCAAGTTAATGTTCCTTACTAGATATTATTTCTCCTACTAGATATTATTAATTACTATTTAAGAAATAAAAAAGTTTAAGTCATACATTAAGAAATGACTTGTGTTTTAGTTCTATTTAGTGCAAATTTCACTTCTTAAATTAATTTCCATTTGATTTTTTGTGGTGTTCTATTCTATTTATATATAAATATATATTATAAAAATAAAAAATTTTAAAACTATATTTTAAAATAAATCTATTGATATAAAATTTATATACAAATTCAAAGTGTTTTTTTGTAATATACGGTCAATGTTTAAAATTTTTTACCAAAAAAAATCAAATTGGAAATGTAATACGGGAGTAGACTTTTTATGCGAAAAAAAATTAAAATATGAGTAAAACATACTACGTAGAAAACATACAAAACAAGGATTTCTTTGTTTTGTAATCCTAAAGTATGAATTAAAATGCATATAAATTCCAGTCATGCCAATAAAAATATTATGAAATGACCATATGCATATGCGGTGTCACATTATATGACCATATACATACATACATACATACATACATACATACATACATACATACATACATACATACATACATACATACATACATATATATATATATATATATATATATATATATATATATATATATTCTATGTTTTACTCAAATTTATGGTAACTTCTTAATTAATATCTTCAATGCTTGTTACGTTAGGGACTCAATCTACACATTTCACTTTTCTTGCAATCTTCGACCTCAATAAACAAAATAAAATGACATTCTGTTTTGACATTTGCAAGCCTGGGATAGCTTGGGATGACATTTGGAAGCCCAAAGCCAACGGGTCTTAGAGCAATAGAATTACCCGTGAGTCCGTGACGCCCCCCTTTGTTATGTGACGTTTAACACCATCGGGCATCGGGGCGTCAAACACCGCCGCCTTCGTCGTCATACGACCGTCACGCACGCTGTGTTAAACATTATTTGACGCAGCAACAAACGGCTCTCCGGGTTTGACCAGCTACAAGATAATCGATCAGCCCAGATCCCCGGGTTTTACAAATTAGAAATTTCGTGTTTCCGGTCTGATTCGGCTTTGACCCGGAATTTTCTGGTTTAGATTGGAATATATTATATGAATTGTATCCATTATTAATTTCAAGCCCAAAAGCATTAGATCCAGTGCATATGGTTTTAGATTCATGAATTTCAATTTTCCAATGTTTAGTTTTTAAATATTTTGTTTCAGTTTATTATTTTTTAAGGTAGTTTATAAATTTGAATAAGTTAGAAATAAAGTTTTGATGAATTTGTTACTACTACTTACAAGTACTATTTTTATTAAATACTTTGAACAATAGAAGCTTCTTATTTCAATTTTTTCCAGATGAATTTAATAACTTAATTCATTTACCAGATTGCAAAAAAGTACTCCGTATAAAAAAATTCAGGTCTAGAGTACGGTAAAACTAGACCAAACCGGAAAAACAAGTCTGAATCAGTCTAGACCGAAAATAAACAAGTCCGGTCTTTAGTCCTAGAAAAACTGTAATTCGGTACCGGTCTTGTTTTGGACCACCCCTACCAGAGGCGGATCCAGGATTTTACAATCATGGGGTCCTTTACCTCTCATTCTCATCTCAAACTACTTCATAAATCTTAATATTTAACAATAAACTAAAACTAATATTTGAAAAGTACCATAATTAATACATAAAATAAAGTCATACGAAAATAATATTAATTACATAAATTAAACATAAAATGAACATTAATACAATAATACTTATCACTTGCAATCCTAAATCAATTTTTCATTGAAGAAAAATCTTTGATTCTTTAATGAATAAGTAATGAATAAAAAATAAATTTATAAATTATCATATATATATATATTACTAATCATATATCAAACTTCAAACTACCATAAAAATTAATTTTAGTAAAATAAAAAAAGTTTTTAAGACTAATTACCTGCGGAGACTGCCGCTGTGGACAGTGGTCGAACTTCGGCGGCACGGCGAACAAAGGCCGGCGGGCGACGGGAAAGAGAGACGGAGAATCGCCGAAGGATAGGGTTCAAAATTGAAAATTCAAAATAGAGAGTTGGGGAAGCGGTAAAATTTGCATAGAAAATAGGGGTTATGCGTTTTAATTTTTACGCGCAAAGTCGTTTTCGCTCCATGCTTTTTTTCAAAAAAAAGAAAAAACTAATTCTAAAAGACGAAGGTTAGAGTTAAAAATTAAAAATTCGAAATAGAGAATTGAGAAAGAGAGCTCAAATTTGCGGAGAAAATAAGGGATACGCGTTTTAATTTTTATGTGCAAAACGACATCGTTTTGCACCAAGCTCTTTTTTTATAAAAGAAAAAACAACTAACTCTAAGCAACCAGGATGGGAGTCGAACTCGGAATGTTAGAGCATTAATGTTATGCCGCTTCCACTGAACCAAACACACTTTTTACTAATTATTGCTACGCGGGTGTTATATATTACTCTGTAGTTATGATTACAAACCGAATAACTATATGGATCTACACTTACACTGGGGTTTGTGGGTCCCAAAACCCCATAAGACTCAAGGTGGGTCCGCCTCTGACCCCTACTCTACACTATTGGATAAGACCACCAATAATATGTACTTTGATAGTCTTTCTTTCCATTTATGTAAAATTGTTGCTAGGGTACCAGTGTTGTTGATGTATAAAGTTTGGGCTTTTTTTATGTAGGAACTCTATCTCCATTAACCCATTCTTTTCTGATACTAAGGACTAATTACTCTATTTACAAGTTACCAAAAACAAGCTTTAGACGTTCAAATAGGATTAATTTGACGTTAACTAACGTTAATATTCCAAGAGGCAGCTCAGACGACAGCATTTCCCAACTAAATGGCACTCTCCGTAAATTCATTGCAACTTTCGGTCAACTTCGACCCCACCTCACACTTCTTCTATCCCGGCCAAATACTCTCTCTGTAAATCTTTTACCCCTCCTCCCCCTCACTTCCACATCAGCCGCCGTCTAAAATGGAGCGCTTCCCGGCGACCGCCGCAATCGCGGCGTTCCTCTGTATTGCGCTCTCCGGCTTCCTTTCGGTATCCACCGGCACCCACGATATCACCCACATTCTGGGCGGCCACCCAGAGTTCAGCACCTTCAATTCCTACTTGACACAGACTCGTCTCGCCGCCGAGATCAACCGTCGTCAGACCATAACCGTCTGCGTCGTCAACAATGCCGGAATGTCAGATCTGGGTTCCAAGCACCTCACCACCGGCGCCGTCAAGAACGTCCTCTCGTTACACGTTCTTCTGGACTACTTCGGCGCCGAGAAGCTCCACCGGATCACCAACGGCACGGTGATGATCACTTCTTTGCTCCAGGCAACCGGATCTGCCAACGGCATGTCCGGCTTCGTCAACATCACAGATCTGAAAGGCGGAAAAGTCGGGTTCTGGCCGATGGACAACAGTAGATCCCCACCTGCCACATTCGTCAAGTCCGTAATTGAGCATCCATACAACATTTCAGTGATTCAGATCAGTCGAGTCTTGACTTCTCCGGAGGCGGAAGCTCCGGCGCCTGGTCCTGCCGAGCTGAATCTGACTTCTCTGCTGGAAAGTAAAGGCTGCGGATTGTTCGCCCATAGTTTGTCGGCCTCCCCTGATGCTGCAAAGACGTTTGCGGACAGCGTCGACGGCGGATTAACGATCTTCTGCCCCTCCGACGACGCGATGAAGAAATTCGGGCCGAAGTTCAAGAAATTGACCGGAGAAGAGAAAGAGTTGCTGCTGGAGTACCATGGTGTCCCGGTCCACTATTCTATTTCGGATCTGAAGTCACATAACGGAGAAATGAACACTTTGGCCACCGGCGATGGTAAGAAATACAGTTTCACGGTCCAAAACGACGGAGACGACGTGAAAGTGGAGACGGGGGTTGTGAATGCGACAATCAAGGATGAAATGCCTAAAGATTCGCTGGGAATTCTCACGATTGATAAAGTGTTGGAGCCCAAGGAGCTGTTCAAGGCAGTTGCATCGCCGTCGCCGGCTCCGGCTCCGGCGCCGGAAGCGGACGCAGCGCCTCCGAAGTCCGGGAAGAAAAAGAAGAAGTCCCCTGCGCCAGCGGCGGCTGATGCTCCATCCCCGGCTGATTCTCCGTCGGACTCCCCAGCTGATGCCCCCAACGACGACGATGAGACGGCAGATGACAACGGCGCAGCTGAGTTCAACGGTGGAAGATTTGTTGCTTCTTTGATTATAAGTCTTTGTGTTGCCTTTTTCATTTGAGCAAGTTTTTCTTTTTTATGTGTATGTTGTCCATTGACATATGTTCAGAATCATATTCATTTTCATCTTCTTGATCTTTTCCTATTTCTAAGATACAATGTGACATAAAATTGTTTTTTTAAAAGAAAATGTGTCATGAAATTAATGAAAAATGTGTGCATAAGAATTTGGTTGGTGCAGATCTCTATGGTTGAGAATGAAACAATTACCTATCACCTCACAAGGCAAAGGTCTTTCATTTACTTGAAGAAAAATATGCTTCTTGAGGCAAGGTTTTGATGCATATTCTTCTAATGGCATCCATAACAAAAAGGTGGAACGTTTACCTCGGGCGTCCTCACACCCGGCTTACAAACACTAGTAGATAGATACCCCAAAAGGAGATGCATTAGTTTTTACCATCGTTAGAAATGTTGTTCATCGTATGAAGTCACTTAGATGAAATGCGACGCGAGTAAGAGCAACATCGTACAACGATCAATTATAAGACTAATTATATTGATTGTATAAGAGTGGAGTGAAACACATTCACAAGTTCAAAGTGGTAGAGATGTAGATGCTATACGAGTTTGGGTAAGGTCCAAAACGAAAATATTTGGGGAAGATGTTTGGAGCATAGACAGTAAAAAGAACAATTCAGTTATATTCTATGAGAGTATGGTCTAGGAAAGGTATATGTACACAGACCTTGCTCTCACTCAAAAGTATAGAGACTCTTTCCAAGACACATCTAGTTCAAGCTGCACAAGAAAAAATATCACACGGAATACATAAAGCAAAGAAAACACAGATAAAATACAAGATACACAAAACAAAAATTAGGGAGCGAATAATAAGTACAATGAATCAAGAAAGAGTACATGGGACTAATAATCACAGCCCAAGAAACTTACCCAAGTATTCTGATCTTATCATCTTCAAACGCTTTTATCTAATGTCATATACTTAAAAAAAGTAAGAAATCGTAAGTCTTGTCTAATCACTTCATTCCAATACTTCTTAAGTCTACCCCTTCCCCTACTCCCGCTCACCGACGTAAGCCTCTCGCATCTTTGCACTGATGCTTTTGCATTCTGTCGCTTCACATGCCCAAATCACCTCAATCTCGTTTTTCACAACTTATCTTAGACTGAAATTGTTAGGATATGTATTAAGGAGATGTGTGAATAATCTATCGAGAAAATGCAAGAGACTCGTGGTAGGTTACGTGATATTATTAGGCTTGGTCTGTAATGAAGGTCTATGATACAAAATCTAACCCTTGATTAGTTGATTTCTATTCAACTATAGAATTAGATCACACGATCCACGCTAGGTTGAAGTGACCCATTTGCTCATTTCTCCAACACTTAAAAATCTCTTTTTCGAACGATCTTGAGCTCGAGTTATCATTGAGGGAATATAGAGAGTTTTTTCATAAATGAGTCTTTAACTTCATCAATTACGATGTCTCATTTTCAAATGTGCGGAAGCTCGGATAAATTGGAACATGATGTTACAAAAACCATCACTATATCGTATTGTGTGTAAAAGTGTAGATAATGTATAGAAAGCTTAGAGACAAAAGTGTCTAAATTTATCCTCTAAGATTGCTGGGGTGAGGTTGAAAAATTTGTCCAAGACAAAATTTAATGTGAGAAATGAATTTATGAACAAAAAAGTTCACAAAATTTTTGTAAACTAAGAGCAGTGACAGTGGCGAGGCAAATAGCCTCCCCACGCACTGCCACATCAGCACCAAACTTGTTTTCCTCGCATGTCAATTTTATTTTGACTCTCCTTGCGAGTCACTGCCAAGGCATGGCGGCAAGGCTAGTTTTTTTTTGTTTTTTCCTATTTCTTTTTTTTTAACTTAAGGAAGAAATTTGCAAGGGGGGTACGGATGAAGGTGTTGGTGGATTTATCCACTGTGAAATACTACGTATTATTATTTTTAGTTTCAATTTCTATTTATATATATAAAAAAAGCTTTTTCTATGAAGGTAATAGAAATACATAGTATTTGTGTGTTAAAAGAGATGATAAAAATAATTTTTATTAGTTAATATACATAAAAAAAATTAAAAAATAAAAAAGTAATGACTTGTCATTGTAGGACTTGTCACTCCTATCATTTGCTACTCAACAAAAATAATAATTTTTTTAATTTAACTTTTCACCATTTCAAAAATTTTACAAAATAAGCAGCAATAAGAATAATTTATTTTATTAAATATACCATGAAAAAGGGAAGCACACAAAATGTTATAAAAAATCTAAAATAGTAACTACGACATTTTTGGGAACAGAGAGAGTATAAACAAAATAGTATTATTTTTATAAAAATATTAAATAAAATAAATATTAATAATTATATACAAAAAAATGTAAAAAAGTGACAAAGATAATGACTTGCCACTGCAATGCATGCCACTCCATGCTCTTGCCACACGATGACTGGACTGTTTTCTATTGGTTAGAATGTTCCACGTCAACGTGTGACATTCCATTTTTTGCCTTGCCATTGCCCGTGCTCTAACCACTCAAACATATCAAAGGGACAGGGCCGAGTGGCCGAGGGCCCCCATTTGGCAAGACTTCCAAATAAGTCTGTCTATATTACCGTTATTAGCATTGTTTCCCCACTATGCCCCATTTCTTTTCTCTCTCCCCTTTTCGTCTTCTTCTTCTTCAAACGCGCCCATTTTCTAACCGTTTGTGTGCCCCCATTTTCCCACCACTTCCAATCATCTGAACCACCCCCATATTATTCCAGTATCATCTTCGATTCTCCATCGCCGCCATTTTCGGTTCTGCAAGAATGCTTCCAAGAAAGCTCCTCACTTTCTCTCTTTTCATTTTCTTCTTCTTCTCCATCTCCCACTGCTTCATCTTCGATTTCCCGTCTTTCAGCCTCAGAAATCTCACCCTTCTTGGGGACTCGTATCTCAGAAACGGCGTCGTCGGGCTCACCAGAGAGCTCGGAGTTCCGGCGTCAAGCTCCGGCTCTGTGATCTACAACAACCCGGTCCGGTTCTTGGACCAAGAATCCAACGTGACCGCCTCTTTCACCACGAGATTCTCTTTTTCCATCGGGAACGTCAATCCGGCGTCGTTTGGGGACGGGCTGGCCTTCTTCCTCTCCGGTGACAACCAGACGTTGGGGAGTCCCGGCGGCTATCTGGGCCTGGTCAACTCGTCGCAGTTGACCAAGAACAGGTTTGTGGCGGTGGAGTTTGACACGCGGCAGGATTTGCACTTCGCTGATCCGGACGGGAACCATGTCGGGTTGGATCTCGACAGCCTTGTCTCCGTCAAGACGGCGAACGCCGGTCTGGCCGGCGTCAATCTGAAGTGCGGGAACGTGATTACGGCGTGGGTCGATTACAGGCACGAGGAGAAGAAGCTGGAGGTTTTCTTGAGTTACTCCAGCTTCAAGCCGGAAACCGCTTTACTGGCGGTCGGAATCGATCTCTCGGAGTTCTTGCAGGAGTTTATGTTCGTGGGCTTCTCCGGCTCCACCGAGGGAAGCACGGAGTTGCATTGCATCGAGAGTTGGAGCTTCCAGACGTTCGGGTTCAGGGATTCGAGGCCAAGAATCCGGCCACACAACGTTAACTCCGTTTACTCTGTTCCCTTCAAACCGCCGATCCCGGCCGCCGACTCCGGCGACAACCGCCACCGCAGCAAGAATCTCCGTCTGGGTCTGGGTATCGCAATCCCCTCATTCTTCTGCGCCCTTCTTGCCCTTTTAGGTCTGTTCGCGGCCAAGAAACTGAAGAGGGGAAACAAGAAACAGAGGGTTCTGAAAACAGACGTGAAGGCGGCGGGCCCCAGACAGTTCACATACAAAGAGCTGAGAATCGCCACCAAGGGGTTCAACGCCGGGAGGATCATAGGCAACGGCGCGTTTGGGACGGTTTACAAGGCCGTTTTCCCGAATTCAGGGAACGTAGCAGCCGTGAAGAGATCCAAACACGAAGGGAAAACGGAATTCGTTGCAGAACTGTCCATCATAGCAGGGCTAAGGCACAAGAATCTGGTTCAGCTCCAAGGCTGGTGCGTCGATAAGGACGAATTGCTTCTAGTCTACGAGTTCATGGCCAACGGGAGCCTAGACAAGGTCCTATACAAAGAATCCGAGCAGAAAAACCCGCTGAAATGGTGTCACAGATACAATATAGCTCTGGGTTTGGCCTCAGTTCTTACATACCTGCACCAAGAATGTGAGCAGCAGGTGATCCACAGAGACATCAAAACCAGCAACATAATGTTGGACTCAGGCTACAACCCGAGGCTCGGGGATTTTGGGCTTGCGAGGCTAATGGACCACGACAAAAGCCCGGTGTCCACCTTAACGGCGGGGACAATGGGGTACCTTGCCCCAGAGTATCTGCAGTATGGGACAGCAACTGAGAAGACTGATGTGTTCAGCTATGGAGTGGTGATACTGGAGGTGGCTTGTGGGAGGAGGCCCATTGAGAAGGAAGGGGTAAATTTGGTAGATTGGGTTTGGAGGCTCCATTCTTTTGGGAGGATAATTGATGCAGCAGACAAAAGGTTGTGTGGGGAGTTTGAGGAGGAAGAGATGAAGAAACTTTTGGTTGTGGGGCTGAGCTGTGCTAATCCAGATGGCCATGAGAGGCCTTCAATGAGGAGAGTTCTGCAAATACTCAACAATGAAGCTGAGGCTTTGGATGTCCCAAGGGTGAAGCCTACTTTGACATTCTCCAACAGTTTGCCACTCAGCATTGATGACATCTTTTCAGATGTTGAAGAAGGAGGAGGACAAGAAGTTCAGAAACAAGAGGATTGCTTAGAGATCAAACTTGAAGATTCATCTTTTTCATCCTCAATCTCTTCAAACATGCCCAATCTGCAACTCAGTGTTGGTGGGATCTTCTCAGAGGATGAAGACTGCAGGAGCCCCTTGGAGATCAAACTTGATTCCTTTGAGCAACACTCTTTCCCCAGATATGATGATGCGTGAAGTGAATTCTTGTTTTTCTGCAACTGCTAATAGGGTGTTTTTGGTCATTCTTTGATTCCAACAGTTTGTTAGATGAGATATAAAGGTGTGAGAGAGCTTTAGGTGCTGAGTTCAAAGTCATTCCATTGAACTCTTGTTTGTTTTGCCTTTTCTGTCTAGTGCTGCTACTTTTTACACTATCTTTTATGGAGATTTTAGTAAAGATTTCATTTTTTTTTCTTTTCCTAAGATGCACAAAATGTACTTTGACAGGCTACATTCCAGATAATGTGATTGTAATCATGAGTTAAAGTTGCAACCAAGGAAGGAGTGTAAATTTAAAAAGACTACTACAACTTGAGATTTTCATAGATTTCCAAACATACCCTTCAGTTTGCTATGTGTTTCTTGGCTTGAGGGAATAGGGGAAAGGTCTTGACAGATAGCAGAGAGAGCACATTCCCATGAAAAGCAAAAACGCTTTGCCGTTACAAGGATTGTGCTCTCTCTCTTCTGTCAAAACCGCTCTCGTATTACACGTTCACATCCTCAAACGCTCCAAAGCAGCTTCCTTTTAACCTGCCGAAAACGAAAAAGGAAAAGAGAGACAAAACAGGAACCAAGTAAAACATCATGTGCATATTTCATCATAAAAACAGCAGGAGAAATTTAAGAAATAATGTGGAATACATGGGCTGTGCCTCCCCAAATGTCTTCCATAAGAGCAAGAACTGAAACTGTGAATGTAAGGAGATAGAGAGGAAGAAGAAGATGATGAAGAAAGGGCTAAACCTGATGAAAGGCAATATATATATGATGGTATGATATGGAGAGAACAGGTAAGAGGAGATAATGAAATCTTCTAAAAAAAAGAAGAAATCTTTAGGAAATCAAAAGGAATTCATTGTGAAAGATGGAGTACACTTTGGTGCTTGGCTAATTGCAGTCACCTGATAATGACTCCCTAACCAGACATATGTTTCTTGGTCACTCTCACATTGGTTAGTGAGGAGTATCAAACATTAATTGACCTCTCTAATTTTTAATAATGAATATCTTTGTAGGGAATTTACGTAAATAGCACTAAAACATAATGACTTTTCTTAAACAGTATTACATGTTTTTTTCTTCCCAATGTAGCACTTTTAGTCATTATACATTAGTCATTATTCAAGTAAATGTTCGCCATCACTGGACATTATAGACATTATTAAATGTTATTTAGAGAATAAAACAGTTTAAGTATTATTTAGGGAAATGACTTAAGTTTTAGTGCTATTTAATGCAAATATTTCTATCTTTATTTTCATTAACACAGTTATATGTCTCGTTTGGGAACACCATTTCAATTAGTATTTTGAATAAATTTTGAATGATACAGGTTAGCTTTAATACGGAGTATTAAACTAACGTTAATGATAGAGACTCGTGCATTATCAATTAAAGTGAAGAGTCATGATTTGAAAGATTTATTTGTTTGACATATAATTTTTTTTTGAGACTTTTTAGAAAAATAAATAACTAAATCTAGACATATAATTTATTTTGTTGAAATCTTTATGAAATATAAATTGAAACATTAAATAACAAGATGGGTACATGTATGTAATCTTGGTATCACATCTCCTGACTTGAGACAGCTAATGCAAAAGCATTATGGCTGCAATGAAAGGGAAAATTGTGAAGTTATCACACTGACTCCATATTTATGAACAATTTTTCGATGCTATAAATCGATAGTTACATCTTGGGCCTTTTTATTTATTTATTTAATAGGTCATGTTTGCATGAGAAACTCTCCACTAGCCTCTAACATTATGTAGTGAAAATTCAAATCCATCTGGTAGGTCAATTGCATTTCTTTTGCTATTATTAGCTCTATTATAGTGCATTTCTCTGTATTTATTATACCACCGATTAATATATCTAAAATTTGCACTAAATAACACTAAAATATAAGTCATTTCTCAATAGTACTAAATATGACTTAATAACGACTAGAGGGAGGAATAATGTCCAGAGATGTTAGACATTTACTTGAATAACAAGTAATGACTAATATATAATGACCAATGGTCCTACATTGGAAAATAAAAATATATGGTCATATATTGAGAAAGTCATTATGTTTTAGTCTTATTTAGATAAATTCTTCTTAATATATTTTCTCAACCTATTTAAGGATTTAAAGAATTTTAAAAATGGTATTTTTGTCAAAAAAAATATTTCAGGGTGACACATGTTTTGTTGAAACAATTCACAGATCTCTCTATTTCTTTAAAAAAACATCAAGAGCTCTTATATTTCGTTCACTCTTTTGTTAATGACTGTGATACATGTATTTTTCCCATTTTGTCCTTAATAATGCATTTTAATTACATTTATTGTTTATACCACACAGACAAAGTGAAGAAAAAAGAAAAATAGAGAAACTAAAAAGTTAAAGTCATAAACTTTATTAACATAAAACCGTCATTAAGGGTAATATGGAAAAACTATATTTTTAACGGTCATTAATAAACTAATAAATGATATATCCCATTATAGTCTTTACAAAAAAAATATGGACCACTGATGTTTTTTTAATAATAGAAGGATAAGTTTCTATATTTTTGTTGAATCACCAAAACTTAGCTTGTGTTTTTTAATCACATAATGAATCATTTTTATTTTACTTTTTACTTAAAAATAATACCAATACGATCATACCACGGAGTAATAAGATATCAAACAATAATATATAAACTTGTAAAAAAGGTGTGTAATTTATTTAAATTAATTTTGAAATTTACTTTTTGAGAAAATGAAAATATTTAAAATCATACTCAAAACAAACACGGATTATACAAATTTTTTTCCTCATGACCCAAAAAAACTCTTTGCACTAACAATTTCATCATAAAATTAAATTTTTTCTAAATAATTTTATTGATATGTATATATATCTTTATATATATACATATCATCTTTTACACTTTTTTTGGTGTATGAAAAAACCATTTTCCCTTTAGCTCTCTTCATCTTGAAATAAACTTTAAACTTTTTTTGAACGCTTAAAAACAATTTTAAATTCCCTCATTTTTTTAAAAAAATAATTTTTGAATATCATTTGAGCAGTGGTAATGGCCACGGCGCTCAGCCACGTTATGCTCATTTTGACGCCTGAGAGGCGTTAAACACCGCCCCTCCCCGTTATAGACCCGTTAAAATTGCTGCGTCAAATTTTTGACACGGTTTGAAGGCGTTGGAATGCCTTCTCCCTTCTTTTTTCTTCCACTTTTTTTCTTTTTTCTTCTCTATAAATTGAATAATTTTTTTAAAATTCAACACAAATACAAATCTCTCTCTATCTATCATCTTTTAAAAAAATTATCATTCAAGTATTTTATTTATCTTTTCATGAATGTAATTTTTATAATGAATGTAGTTTTTTATTTAATAAATTTAATTTTTATAATAAGTGTAATTTTTTAATGAACTATTCTCGTTTCAATTCTTTTAAATAATTAAATAATTTAATTTTATTAATTTAATTTTTAAAAATATGTATTTAAAATGTAAAAAAAATAAAGATTTGAAGTTCCAATTTAAAACCCAGAACTTCAAACTAATTTCCACTAAAACGTTAAGATAAGTTAAAACTGACGTATCAGAAAGAAAGGTTTGAAGACACGCCCTTCATGAGTATTTCGAGTGATCTTAGTTCCCTCTATTTCAAACTACACACTTTGCACCTAAACACAAAAAAATAGACTAGATTTTTCAACATTTTCATTTTCTAAAGCTTCATCGAATTAAACTGATAATATTGGCAACTAGATCTTGCTAATGGGCTTCATCGCCGCCTCTCTTCAAAAGGTCTCTCCCTCAAAATCCACGAAGAAGAAGACGGTCATCGGAGGTGAATCTTCTCGCTGTCTCTCATGCTCTCCCATCTATCTTCTTTGCCGAAGGGCTATTGTTGGTCTAAAAACACAAGCGCGTTTGGGTTTTTTTCATTATAACCCAATAGACTGTATGAAAAAGGAGGACGAGGAAAGAGTTAAAACATGACTACGTGAGAAACTCTATAGTCCATGGCAACCAAGAGAATACCCAATTTATCCCAACAAATTTCAAGAATTGAAGCTTTCTCCGAAATGGGGTTCTTCAAGAATCCCCCAGAAACTACCGCCCGAGCTAACCTCGCCACTTCATCAATCAAAACCCAGGCAGCCAGTACACACACTCTACTCTCTTTCAATATTTCTCCCATGGATTCATAAAGCTAAGTTCTTTCTAGTAGCAGGCGAACATAGATATGCATATTTGTATATATGAACTAATAAAGATCTGTTCTTTGGCGAAGCAGACGAAGGAATTGAGAAGAGCATATATGCAATCTTGACCGTTGATCGCTGGGAATCATTAAATCTGATGGAGTATAAGACGGCTTCACTGAGGCCAGTTCATGGGAGGATGGCTTTGAAGTTCTTGAAATGGTTCATAAAACAGCCAGGTTTAGAGCTCAACCACATTGTTCACATGAAATGTATCACTGCACATATTCTTACAAGAGCTAGAATGTATGAATCTGCCAAGTCAATCTTTAGGGGTTTATCAGAAATGGGTATTGCCTCAAAATCTGTTCTTGATGCCCTTACGGGCACTTATTCCCTCTGCAATTCAACCCCTTCGGTTTATGATGTTTTCATCAGGGTTTATGTGAGAAAAGGAATGGTTGAGGATGCTTTGAAGGCATTCTACTGGATTGGGTCTTGCGGAATTACTCCCTCGGTCCACACTTCTAACATGATTCTTGCTGCAATTGCCAAGTTCTGTGACACGACGGAGTCTGTTTGGCCATTTTTCAAGGAGATGCTGGCAAAATGTATATGCCCTAATCTGCATACTTTTAACATACTATTACATGTCCTATGTATGTCGGGAAAGCTTGAGAGAGCGAATCACTTGATGAAAAGAATGGAGGAGAGCGGGTACATTCCGGATGTGGTTACTTACAATACGTTGTTAAATTGGTATTGCAAGAAGGGACGATACAAGTCAGCTTCTGAGCTGATTGATCGCATGGCCTGTAAAGGTCTCAAGGCCGATGTTTGTACATATAACATGTTTATAGATGATTTGTGTAAGAACGATAGGAGTGCGAAAGGGTATTTGGTTTTGAAAAAGATGAGGAAGAGATTGATAGTTCCAAATGAAATCACGTATAACACTCTAATACATGGATTCATGAGAGAGGGTAAGGTGGGAGCTGCGATGAAGGTTTTTAACGAGATGGTGGGTTTTAATCTCTCGCCAAATCGCCTCACTTTTAATGCTTTGATCGATGGGCATTGTCGCGCAGGCATGTTTGAAGAAGCGTTTGAACTTTTGAAGGAAATGGAAGGAAGAGGATTACATCCCAACGAAGTTAGCTTTGGATCTATCTTGAATGGGTTCTGCAGATATGGGAAGATAGATTCTGCAAGATATATATTTGAGATGATGAGGAAGAATGGCATAGCTCTCAATAATGTATCCTACACAATGCTAATGAAAGAGTTATGCAAAAAGGGGAAGCTTAAAGAAAGCCTTCAGCTTTTCAATGAGATGATTCGCAGCAATATATGCCCTGATGGTGTCACATACTTGGTTCTTGTAAATGGGCTTTTCAGAGCTAGAAGGATCAAGAATGCAAAAGAGGTAATTTGCAGAATGTACAAAAGTGGAGCTTTACCAAATGAAAACATGAATCATACCCTAGTGTACAACTTCTGCAAGCAGAAGGATATCATCCAAGCTATGAAACTCTACCAAGTGATGCAGGAAAATGGCCATATTGCTGACCTGTCTCTATGCAATTCGCTTGTTTCATGCCTTTGCAGATGTGGAAAGGTAAGGGAAGCTGAAGATTTCTTGAGTCACATGCTAAGTATCAATCTAGTTCCCGATTCTGCTTGCTTTGATTCTGTTATTTCTGGGTATGTAAGTACAGGTGATGGCTCCAAAGTGTTATCTTTGTTTGATGAAATGAACAAATTGGGAAACCGCCCTACCCATAACACATATGGAAGTATATTAAAAGGGCTGTGCAAAGGAGGAAACTTTACAGAGGCAATCAAGTTATTTGATGGACTTCGTCATTCTCCTCATTTTGTTCTTGATGTTAGCATCTACAATACATTGTTAGGTGAGCTTTGTAACTTGGGACATTTCAACATGGCTTTGACACTCTTTGACGATATGGTGCAGAATCATGTGATCCCCGATTGCTATACATACGCCACTCTCATCGCCGGGCTGTGCAGAAATGGTAAAATAACTTGCGCAATTCTTCTAATGCCAAGAGTATTAGAAAGAGGAACTTCATTTTCTAACAGGTTGATGTATACAAATATAATAGATGGGCTTTTCAAGAACGGTTTGCCAGAAGTTGCATTGTGCTTCTACAAAGACATGATAGTGCAAGGGTTGAGACCAGATACTATGGCATTAAACACAATGATACACGGTTACTCCATGATTGGTGAAATGGCTCGAGCAAATAGATTTTTCTCAATCATGAAGGCCAAATCACTGGCTCCTAATCTTGATACATATAACAGCTTATTACACGGCCACGCCGCGCTGCGAAATATGTCAGAGTGCTTTGGATTATACCGTTCAATTTCAAGAAATGGTCTAAATCCAGACATGTCAACAATTAAAGCTTTGATCTTTGCCCTTTGTGAGTCGGGTTTGTTGGATATCGGGGTCAAATTTGCAAAAAAGATGATAATGGAAGGAGTTGAGATAGATAAAGTCTCATTCAACATGCTAATTGCCAAATATAGTGACAAAGGGGAGATGCAGAAGGCTTTTGGGGTGGTGAATATTATGAGCTCAATCGGCGGTTTTCCTCCGGATGGAGATACTTATGAATCCATGCTCAAGGGACTAAAGAGGAAATCTGATTTCCAAACTTATCGTATCGTCATGCACGAAATGATAAGGAGTGGTACAATGCCCACATATAGACAGTACAGTGGTTTGCTCAGTGGCATGTGCAGAGCAGGAGATGTGAAAGGAGCATTCAAGTTTAAGGATGACATGGAATCTCTCGGAGTTGGGTCCCGCGATATTGCTGACAGCGCCATTGTCAGAGGCCTCGCGCGCCGTGGGAAGCTGGAGGAAGCGACATTCGTGCTTGAATGTATGCTGAGAGTCCAACTCCTCCCAAACATTTCAACTTTCACGACCCTAATCCATGGGTTTTGCAAAGAATCTAAACTTCCCGAGGCCTTGGATTTGAAAAACACAATGGAAGTTCATGGGATCATGTCCGATGTTGTCGTTTACAATGTACTGATCTCAACCCTCTGTGCCAACAAGGGTTTAGATCGTGCGTTCGATCTGTACGAGGAGATGAAACAGAGAGATGTGTGGGCTAATGTCACCACATATGCTGCTCTTGTTGATGCGGTCCGTTCTGAGAATGATTCGTCCAAGGGTGAAAAACTTGTGATTGATCTTCTGGAGAGAGGGCTGATAGAGCAAGAAGAGATGAGTTCAGAAGTTCTTATGCATGAAAGATTAACACTTGTGATGCAGAGGCTTGATTTCTTGAGGAAGAAAAGGACACATAGGATTGCAAGTAGGTGATGGGTTTTGATATTGAATGTAAAAAAGAGAGATCTTTAATAGATATGATCTTGTGCAGTTGTGAATTAAAACAAAATCTCACTCCTTATTTGTCATATTATAGCCTAATTTACTTTCTCTCGGGTAATTTCTATACACTCGGTCTGAGACCCTACGGATGCGGTTGAGGCCCGAGGGGTTCATCTTTATTTTTTTTTTGTAAGAAAAAGTGTTAAAACAGTTCACAACTTTTTCATGTGAGTTTTACTAAAATAAAGGTTTCAGATTCATATAAAAATGTGCAATTGTACACTGCTTGATGTGATTGGTAGGCAAAATTTAGGTCTCCATAGTTTTTGCCACCTGACACTTTTGAGAACATCCATGTGAGCATGTTCTCTGTCTGTACCACCCTATGTCCCAACTTCCACCCCCCTTCCCAAAAAAAAGCTTCATCCGTTGGATTGAACGGACCGAGCTCGGATGATATTACTGCTGAGCTCGTACGGTTTGATCCAACTCGTTGTAGCTTTGCAAGAGGTACTTCCAGGGAAATATATTGTTAAAAATAAATATATTTATGGTAAATTGGGTTTATCTCATCCAAAAAGATGGTTTTGGTTCTCAGTTCCAATTGGGGTTAGACAAGTGAATGATTTGTTGGTGGGCATGTGGGGGGCATCTGATTAGATTCTGCAGCTGTTTTTGGAGACACAATGGAGGGGAGGGCATGTACCAATGGCACTATTACCCATCATTCTTGTCTAACATTCTTTCACTTTTATGTCAAAAACTTATTTTTAAGACATCTTCTAAAAGGATGTGTACCAATGGAGCTAGGTGAATACTTTTATATATATTTCGTATGACCTAAATTTCTCAAATTCTTCTGTCCATGTGGAACAAAAAGAGTTGCAAACAAAGATTACTAAGAAACTTTAGTGTGCATTTAGTTTGATTTTTTTCCGAGTCAACTCGAATGCCTTTTAATAATCAATTAAATCAAAGTAAGTTGCATATTAGAACAAGAATGATTTTGGAAATAATTTTGTTTTAAAATACTTCAGGGTATAAATATGCGATGTCATAACAACTCAAAAGAATTTTAAATAAAGTTTGGAAAGAATGTGTGCACGCAGACCTTACTCCTACTTTGAGGTAGAGATGTTGTCTTACCAACAGCAATACATGATGTTATTTTTATATAATTGATCATTAAAGTTTATTCAGTTTAATTGAAAAATATGAATACTTTGTTGGGACACTTATCAACCAATTGTGCTACACTTTGGACAAAGAGAAATGTCATTTTTAACCTCCCACTAATAGAATAGAATGATACCCTCTATAAAAATTCACATTCTAAGAGAAAATGCTTTTGGACAAGAGGGGAATAACAAAGATATGAAAAGGTTGGGCTTTTTAGGAACATCACATTTTTCATAGCGTTCACATGCTGGTGGTGGGGGACATAAAACGCATGCCATTATTCCTCTAGCCGTTGCCCAAAAAAAGTCTAAAATTCTAAACCACCGCCGCCGCCCCCACGACGGCTCTCCGCTCTACATATATCCCTCCGCCTCCCTACACACCCATTCACAAATTCTCTCTCCCTCTCTTAATCTTCATTTCTCCCGGCGTCACTTGTATACTCAGAGGATTCATGTCTGCATCGACGGTATGAATTTTGCTTCTTTTCTTCGTTGCAGACTGGGTTCGATCCCGGCTACTCGATTTCATTTGGCTTTTTTCTCTAGTAACAAAGATCTTGAAATTCTTTTAGGGTTTCTTCAATCGTGTTTAGTGAATCGATTAATTCTTGCTTCGGATGTGTTGACTTTGGAGCTTATAATTGCATCAATTAGCTGGATTAAACAGTGATTGAGGTCGCTGGGTTTTTGGTTTTTAATCTGTAATTGCTAATTGAATGATGAGTTAAGGCTGAAGATTATTTCAGAATTGAAAGTTGTGTTCTTTACAACAACAAAAAAAGTATTGGTAGGTGGGCAGACTTTGAACAAAGGAAGAATGTGGTTTGGAGATGCTAAGAAGCAAAAGACATATTCTTTGTAGGATTCATTTTTAAAAAAAACAAAGCAAGAATGTGATTTTAAGATGCTAAAAAATGGCATCTTGTATCCTGCAAATTCAAGTATGGTTATTTGAGACCAACAACAACAACAAAACCTGTGAAATCTTGCTAAAAGTAGCATTTGGGGATCAAACTAAACTCAATGGTACTGGTAACTGATAGTCTGATACAGAACTAGTTGTAGCTGACCCTAACTTGGATGGGGTTTAGTTTTGTATATTCTAAGTTTCTAACCATGTTTATTACCACATTATAGAAGAGCTTAACAAATTCACTAGGGAAATTTTCTTTGTTTTCCATGGTGTATACCAAGGGCCAAATTCAGAGACAAACTTTATCAGTGCAGTGTCTGTTCGCAGTTGCACGACAAGTTTTACCGGAGAATTTGTCCTTTGGTGTACACAAAGCGTCACCCAATGCATAATGTTGCACTATTGAGGCATACTCTAATCTTCAACCTATTGTGCACTTTTTTTGTTTATTTATGTTTCTTCCATTGCTTATCTAATTCTCAGGAGAATGGAAAAGTACCTTTACCAAAGTTCGGTGATTGGGATGTTAATAACCCCTCATCAGCAGAGGGGTTTACTGTGATTTTTAACAAGGCCCGCGATGAAAAGAAAACAGGCTGTACGACCGAAGCGCCGGGAAAGGATGATGTCACCAATACTAATAGACATGCACCTAATCCATCAAAACCCCGAGCTGTAAGTTTCCTTTGCATTGCCATGAGAATTTTTTTGTTCTTTAATGGCATTATAGGACTGAAAGGGTCTTTCCCAGCAATAAGGGAGCTCTTATTGATGGTCTATTTTTAGTGATATTAATAAGAAATAAAGAAAAGTGGAAGGAAAAGGAGATGAGAGGGAAAATGAATTTTTTTTCCAATTTGGTGATGAAAAGGAGACATTTTTCCTTTCCTTTGTTTCTTAATGTCTTGAACCAAAAATAGCATAAAGAACCAAACTGTAAGATTTATGTGATATCTCTCACATCTTCATACACAGTTTCTATTTTATTACTCTGTAAAAATGAAGCCAAGTCAATACCTGAAGAAAATTCGGGACAGAGTAACTAATTTGTGTCCCAAAAATAGCCTTATTTGAATGAAAGAAGCAAACTTTCATCATAATTATTGTTTTTATAGTAATATTGAGCGAGTGAAATTTAGTTTTGAGAAGTAATAGGCATATTTGATTATTTCTATTAGGCATATTTGTGGCCTTTTGGGGGTAGGGACTCTTTTGATGGAACAAATTGAGTATATCGCTTATAGACGTTTGAACTTTTTTTTGGTGCAGAGTAAATGGAAATGCTGGTAATGCTGAAAAAGGGATCTTGGAGTATCAAAATATGAATTAGGGATTTTCAATATGGAGAAGGGATCAAGAGAGATGGAGACTCTTGTGTTCTTCTGCTGCTCATATCTATTTTTATCATGTAAAATTATGAAGAACTGAAGATATATATATATATATATATATATATATATATATATATATATATATATATATATATATATATATATATATATATATATATGAAGACATGAAGATATATCTTTCTCTTTCTACTATATGTGCCTTGTCTGGAATTTCACATTCTTTTGTGATGCTTAAAGCTAAGCATTTTTCTTTTTGTCTGTAACTAAGTGTACTGAATTTCTATGCCATATGCACCTATCCACTTTGGAGAAGTGGATAGAAAAAATAAAGTGGCATAAATGTATTGCATGCTTTTCAAAAAAGAAGTGTTGGTTGCAAATTGCAAAAGAGAGATCCTCATATCTTTTTTTAATGTTACTCACTCTATCATAAGGTAGTATATGTTCATACTATTCTCTCACAAAAAAGTGCTACCACTCAAGCTAAGAAGTATTGGGGAGTGGGCTTGCTACCACTCAAGAGAGAAGTTCGAGATTCTTACATCCTAACTCCCCCTGTTTGATTTTTTCAACTTATTCATTTACTTCTCCCTTTTGTTGGATATGAGTATATGACTCCCTTTGTACCAAAAAGTAAAATAAAACAAAATTTCATTTTATTTTTTACGAACCTACTCTCGCGGGATTTTATTGGATTATTGTTATTGACTTTTATTGAGTTTTTAAAAAAATGATAAGTGTATGACTAAGATTTGTTTAGATGAGAAAATTTTTGAGTTGCATGATCAAAAAGAAAATAGATAGGAAGTGGCTTGGGACTATCAAAAAAGAAAAATGGGCAGTGTTTTTTGAGATGGATGAGGCATTTCTCATCCAACTAATACTAAACTATACTCCCTCCGTCTCAATTTATATCACCCGTTTTGACTTTTGGGCATATTTAAGGAAAATAAAAAATAGAGTTGATTTTTCAAAATTGACATTATTTTTTAAGAGAGGTAATGATGAATGAGAAGATAATGTGAAAAAGAATGACTTATTTTAATGGTAGTTTAGGTATTTTATTTTTAATAGTTTACGAAAACAACTAACGGGCAATTTATTTTGGGACGGAGAAAAAAGGCAAACAGACAATTTAAAATGGGACGGAGGGAGTATGATTTTTGTGCTTGACCTATGTGTCTCGTAGAAGTGTAGAACTTACAGATTTATACTGGGACATAGAAGCACAAAGAATAATGTATGGAGATGCGAGAGGCTTGAGATTTAGTGCGTTCTGAGAGGAGAAAGTACACTTAAAAAGTGTCGGAAGAAAGTAATTAGATGTTTATAACTTCAATATCTTGTCGAGGATACACCCCTTAGAAACAATCTTTCTAGTTTACAAAAGATCTACAATTTTAGTGGGTTTGTTGTGTTGTATAGAAATATAATATAATCTCATCATTACTATGGACCAATGTTGTTAAGAGATGTTTGGCTCGAGGTTGTCATGGCATTACATTGATGACGTTAGAAACGTAATACGGGGAGTACAAAGTACGGAGTATTAGATTACCTTGTTTGATTTGAGTCTTACACGAAAACCTCGTATTAACCGTTGTGTAGGAAAATAAAATAATGTTAGGGAGATGTGACTACTACATTGACCTTCTTAGCTATGGTGTGAAGTATGAACCAATGAATTGTAGACTATACACTACAAAAAGGAATCGAACACTAACAGATAATAAAGAAGTTCATATAAGGAATAAGGAAATGCTACAATAAATCCATAAGGTTTGTAAAAACATAAAGAATCCTCAGAAGGGAAAAAAAAGTTCTTTTAATATCAGAAACAAATTCCTTAAACCTGAAGTTTCTTCTTTCTGCAACTATGAACATCCCTGGCCAAGAGATTAAACTCGTGACTGGCCAAGCTTCCGTTCAAACAAACGCTTTAGGAGAAAAACTTGTAAAAAACTAGCGCCGATAAGAGCTGCAGACTCGTATAAAGCCTTGTGAAGTGCCCTCTTGCTCATGCCTTCATTCACTGCATTATTAGATGTTGACAATCGTGGATCAGAGTTCATCCCAAAACATTCAAATATGCCGGTGACCACCCCCCCCTCCTATCCTTCTCATAGACATCCACAAAGATTGAAGGGAAAATGTTCGAGTTGTGTTGGACAGACTCGACAACACTTTTACTTGTAAAAATGATGTTTGGAATTTTTTTTCTCGATTTAAAAAAACAATTGAAAGTTCTTTGGTAAGCACTTGATAGGTTATTTTTCACCCCCAAAAGAAAGTGCTTTTGAAATAAACAGTGACCTTAAACTTAAACATTTGTTTGATTGGTTAGAACTTAAAAGTGCTGCTTTTGGATATGTTTGGGAATAACATTTGTTATTATTAGCCTTGAGTTTTGAATACTCTTTTTCATAATGCAAGTTGAGATCTAAACATGTTGTAACTAAAGGCTATCCGTGGATAGCTTTTCTAAAAGACTAAAGCTAAACTTTGAAGCGTATGAGAAACAGATACTTCAGCAAACAGAACTGATCAATTACACTTCTTAACATTTAAAGCCGAATCGTACAAAAACATTCCAAATTTGAAAGGGAGATTTTCATTTGTGAAAGGCAGTTAAGAAGCAGTAAGAGAGTAGGAAATAAATCATGAATGACTCAAATAGGGTAACTAACATACCTATAGCTTGCCGGTCGGTCTGAGCCTCTAGCCAATGCTGCTCAAACTGAATATTATATAAAGCTTCTTCTAGCTTGCCAATGTGTTCAAACAAAGGCTTGAAATGTTCTGCCAATGTGACCGTCTAATTAGGAAAATGGCAGCAACTAAAAGAAGTCTAGACTAAAAGCACAAGTAATGTATGGAGTAATACCATCTTTTGCATGTTCATCGTGGAACATGAAATGACCAGAATGGACATCAAAGTCTATGGTTTCGTGATACGGGGACTTGTTAGTGAAACAGAAACGGTGAACTCCTTCCTGGTGAGCCACAAACTCTGCCTTTTCGCTTATCTTATCGCGCATATCGTGAATTTGCTCTCCCGTTGGTCCCTTCACCTGATCATTCAAAAAAAAACATTTCCAACCATAATATATGCGGGTATCTTGCATAAAAATGAATGCAAAATAATTTCCACCTTATACATGTGATGGGTGGTATATTGGGAGTTGGCCCAATGTACCCAACCCATTTATTTATTTGTATAACGGCATAAGATGCCAAGCCCAGTCAATCTTAACGCCAAGAGCAAAACCTTCCTCAATCAAAGGCTTGGATGCCAAGCCCAACTACTCACATTCTGCCACATAACCCACCCCCATCTTCCCCTATCCCACCACATTTCAGAGGTGGGCATAGAGGTGGGGGTGGGTAATGTGGCAGGATGTGAGTGGTGGGACAGGGAGGGGGAGACAGAGGTTCCAATCCCCCACCTAAGCAGCAAATTCTACACCGAGATTTAGTCCGAAAAGCCGAGAAAAGACAACAATCAAAACTATGATGTCCTAAGTTCCAACAGACATTGAAGACTAACTGATATGTTCAAACAACAGCTCAATTAATCACACAGAGAGTTGAACAAATCTGCAAATCCATGAAACCTAAAAAAGAGGAAAAAGAAAAGAAACTTTTACCACAAGATCAACCCCGTCTTCCACGTAATTCCAGGACTTCTCGGACTTGATCACAACAAAAGAAAAATGAACAGTGTCCCCCAACGCCACCTTGTGCGAGAAGCACTCCTCTCTGTCAATCACGAACCTGATCCCGCGGGCCCCTCCGGCGATCCACATCAGCACCGCCGCCGCGATCCAGCCACACGACGGAAAAGCTCTCACCTGCAAAAAATTTCAAGAATTCATCCGCTTTTTTCGTCTGGGCATGCCCCGAATGAACAGAAGGAAATCTGAAGGGGAAGGGTTTTACCATGTCTGGGGGGGGGAATTGACGATCTTTGGTTGGACAGGAGAGAAAGAGGGATTGAAACCTTGGAGAACAATGGAACAAAGGTTACGATGTAAATTGTACAAGTGAAAGGCGTGAAGTGTTGTTTCTACTGTCTATGGGATTGGGGGGTCGGAAACGCAAGTTCCGGTCCTTGGGCTGTACTTGTCTCCGAGGTATACGACCCACGCGATCAGGCTTCTCTTTGTATCGATATTAGGGCACGTTTGGTTACCCACTTTTTAAATATAATTAGGAATACAAAAATCATAAGATTCATTGTTGGTTATTTTCATGTCTTTCATTTATTTTATAAAATTATTTTTATTTGGGGCATGTTCAGATATAGCGGTAGTGATTAGCATTAGTATTTTAGATAAAATTTCAACGGTATAGATTACATTGAAAATGATAACATTAAACGTTGTCCGTCGGTAGCCTTTTCAAAACACTAACACTAATCTATAACGCTATTTCTAAATAAGCTCTTAAAGTGATTAAAAATTTTAATAAATTTTGTTAATAAATTTATAAGTGCAAGTACAAGCTCGTTTTATAAATTTTCAAATTTTAATGGGAAAATACACATTAAAACTACTAGAAATATGACATTTTACATTTATATTTCGAAATTTCATTATTCACATCGTTGCTTCAAGGAAGTAAATCAATTTACAAGGTCACTGTGTGTTCTAACTCTGATCACATATAATTTGTGGTAAAAAATTTCATGGATCTCGAGTTTATTTTAATTATATATACTACCTCCGTCCCACTGTCTTTGTCCACTTTTGACTTTTGGAACTATTCATCTAAGCACTTTGACTCATCAAATTCTCTCAATGTGTAAGCCTAAATGAAGTCATGTGTGATCTTGTTTGATTTGTCTTAACATATAGATTATTAATATATAATTTCTATAATTTTTTAATATACAAATTACAAGATAAAATGGATTAAAGAAGTTCATTGGATGGTGTGCCAAAAGGTAAGTGGATAAAGACAGTGGGACGGAGGGAGTGTGTGTGTGTGTGTGTGTGTGTGTGTGTGTATATATATAAGCCTTCTTGATGTGAACTCATTAGTATTAGTATTGCGATTGGTATTGGAATTATGATTAAGTTTAGGATTACACACATTAACATTAAACACATTAGCTTAGTGAAACTCCTATATTAATTTCTGATCTGAACTAATTTGAATAAATAAAAAATACATAGTAATCCTTTAATATAATATTTGAGACTCTGTTTGCTAGAAAGTCGCCAAGTGTCAAGCTTATGTGGGCTATATTAAGGTGAGATCACAAGCCTTTATTGGTTGTTTATGTGGCAATTTTTATTAATGATGAATTGACCTTTCTTTTTATTTTAAAATAGAAATTTAATAATGATTTAAAATTTTGGAAAAATTTTACTTAAAAAGATTTAGGACAAATAAAGAATTCATTACTTCGTGACATTAGTTGAGTTTTTATATTTTTTATTTTCAAAAAGCAATTCATTTATTTATTTGTTATATTGTGATAAAATTAATTAATTATGTTATAAAATCAAATTTGTGAAAGATAAATATAGTATTGTCCGAAATAAAATTATTAAAGGAAAGCAATTGTATAAAATATAATNTATCATTTGTTGGATTATTTTTAACCAAGTCAGTGTTCACTCATGGTCAGCTCTATGTTGCTGTTTTGCGAGTGAAGACAAAGACAAGATTAAAAATATTAGTCTTAGATGACAATGGAAATCCTTGCAGCCATACCAAAAATGTTGTATACCCTGAAGTCTTTCAAAAAATTTGGTATTAAAGCAAACTTTGTTTTGTGTAGATTCAATTCCTCATATATTATTCTTTTACTTTGCCTTTCTTTTATGTGTTATTATAAATCATGCATGAGGTATATTTTTTTATTCCGAAAAAAATATTAAATTGAATAAATTCAGAATCGACAAGATATTCGTCCGAACTCGTGCGTGGCACGGGTAGGAATACTAGTAAGTAATAAGAATCACTTGAAGAGGGCATTACCTTAGTTGACCTTAATTACCTCTCTTTGGATAAAATCTTGGATAGGGGTGGACAACATTTTGAACTGATTGTATGTAAGTTATGGTTGTTCACGTTTAGGTCCGGATAAAAAAATTGACCGAACAAAACTATTAGGTCTAGACCATACCCGGACCGAATGGATTTCAGGTCGGTCTTTGATCCAGAAAGTTTAGGTGTTCGGGTTTAAGTCCGATCCAGTTCAACCCAAAAATGATTTAGGTCCGGATCGATTGTACCAAATGGACCTGACCTAATAATCCTACTGGACCTAAAAGGCCTAAATACTAAAACTCTACTTTTTAAGTTTCGTATAACACTTTAATGCTCTATTTTAATAGATATCGTAATTTATTTTTTATGATTATACATAGAAGTAAATCAAGTAATCCATATTGTGTATCTATTTTTAGGTTGCCTATTTTTTTTCTTTTTTTTCTATTTGCACGGTACAAAGAAAAAAGCCTAAAATATATTTAATTGATCAAAATAATTAAAAAAATGTTTTAATCAGTCCAATCAATCCGAACCAGTTCGGCCTTAAATGATCCAGTCCGATCCGGTCCAAATCTGAATAGATTTAAGTCCGATCTTCAGTCCGTGATTTTATTCAATTAAGTTTTCGATTGGTCCTGGTCGATCCAGTGAAGAGCCCTATAACTAGTAAAGGAGTGGACAACATTTTGATTTGGTATCGAGACCTTATATTCAGAAACCGCTTAAGAAGGATTCAAATTAGGGTTCTAATTTTTAGTAATTGGAATAGATGATCCTAGTTTTAATTTTTTTGTTAGTTTTTTGAAGCTTAATTTTTCTTGGAAAACATTTTCCTTTGAAAAATATTCTTCATGTAAAATATTTTACACACAATCAAACACAACTTTTTTTCTTTAACTAGTAAACTCCGTTTAAATAAAACCAAAACACTTTATTTGATTTAATTGAACTTCAAAGAAAAAAAATACTCCCTCCGTCCCAAATTATTTGCTACATTTGTATATCCGAGACAAAATATCAAGTTTTTTCAATTCATTTTATTTACATATTGGTAAAGAAATAAAAAATAAAATTTACATATAAAAAAGCTACATGAAAAGTTATTCGAAATAAGAGGCGTCAAAAATATTTTATTTTATCAAATAATTAATGAAAACGTAGAAATAAAGGAGTACTCCCTCAAGCTCATATAGAGCAATAGCTAGTACTCCCTCCAACAGCAAATATCAAGAAAGATTTTCTGAACAGAAGCCGCCAATTCTCCTTTCATCAGCACCTAGAAACTCGAGGCAGTAATGGACAATCCAATAATCGTGCCGGAAGGGACCGCCGGAAAAGTCATAAAATGCAAAGGTAACTACTTTATCCGATCAAAGATTACAGTCTTTTTCATGTTGACGAGAGCTCTGACGGTTCAAGAAAACGGCATTCCGCAGCTGCGGTGGCATGGAGACCCTGGGAGCGGCTGACGATTCAAGAGGTGGAGGTGGCGCCGCCGCAGAAATTGGAGGTTCGGGTCAAGATTCTCTTCACTTCCCTTTGCTCCGGTGACGTTTTAGCCTGGGTTTCCGAGGTAATTCCATCATTTCCGTTTCTTCTAGGTTTAATTCTTCTGTAAATCTTTTCAAGAACAGAACTTTCTGGTTCGATACTCATCGGGGTTTCCCAAATCCCTTTCTTGATTTCTATCAGGGTCCATTGTTCCCCAGGATTCTTGGACATGAAGCCACAGGGTATTGCAATTTCGTTCTAATCATAAACCGTTATTTTTTATATCAAGAAAAAAAATCAAATTTGCTGAGTATTCTGTGACTGATTAGGGTTGTGGAGAGCGTGGGAGAGGGAGTGACAGAAGTCGTCCCGGGGGACAAAGTAATGATGGTTTACACTGGGGAATGTGGAGAATGTGCCCACTGCAAATCTGAAGAGAGCAATTTGTGCAGTCTTCTCAGGCACAAGACTAACAAGGGAGTGATGATCCAGGACAATACATCTCGCTTTTCCACCGAAGGAACTCCGATTTATCATTTTGCAGGGACGTCCACATTCGTCGAATACACCGTGGTTCATGCTGGTTGTGTTGTTAAACTCAATCCCCTTGCTCCTTTGGAAATGGTTTGTGCATTAAGCTGTGGGGTTGTTGCAGGTATGATATTTTCTGGCTCAAAGCTTTTTTTTAAATTATATTTTTGTATGGCTTTGTTATTGTTGTTTACCATCTTGGTGCATCATTGGCCTTTCTGCTTGTGTCAATGTAGGTTTGGGTTCTGTCCTTAATGTTGCCAAACCGAAAGAAGGCTCCTCCGTGGCCATTTTCGGCCTTGGAGTAACAGGACTTGCAGTATGTGCCTTTCTTTATAATAAAGTTTCCATTATAGTTATGTTTTGTAACTTTCCAAATTGGTTTTCCCTTGAAATTTTCAGGCTGCAGAAGGAGCCAGAATAGCCGGGGCTGCAAGGATCATAGGCATTGATGAAGATCCTAACAGACGCGCAAGGGGTAATAAGATTAGTTCTAACAATCATCATGTGTTCTTTATCCTTTTCAATCAATCCATAAACGATCAATAAATGCTTTCTTGATGTACTTTGATTGGATGCAGCGCCCGATTTTGGTGTCAACTGCACTCTCAACCCTTCGCTTTATACTGTGGCGATTAAAGATGTTTGTTTCTCTTGCTTGCTCCATGAAAACATGTTTCTACATCATATCATATGTGCTTTCATTAGATAGCATGTTGAGAACTGTGTGCCTTTTGATCATGTGTCTTTAGGTCATTGGTGGCATGACCGGTGGAGGGGTGGACCGAAGTATTGAATGCAGTGGTGACCCAAGATACATTCTCTCTGCATTCGACTGCCTTCACACAGTAAGTATCACTCTGCCCGAATTTCGAACTTCAAAAGTTTTTATTTTTTGAACGAGCAAAAACAATTGTGTTTGGTTGTAATAATGAAACAGAGTTGTCTGCTAATAACTATTATAGGGATGGGGCGTTGCGGTTCTGAACGTTGTGTCGCGAACTGGGGATGAGTTTAGGACTGACCCAATGAATTTCATGGGGGAGAAGACACTTAAGGGCTGCTTCTTTGGGAACTACAAGCCCCGGTCCCATCTTCCTTTGCTTGTGGACATGATCATGAACCAGGTTAGTCTTTGTCTTTCATCTCCTCTGCCTTCATGAAATTTGTGTTTTAGATGCTCAAGATGGCATGTTTTTTTTCTTTTGTTTGGTTCAGGAACTTGATCTGGCCAAGTTTGTGACTTATAGGTTTACTTTTGATGAGATTAAGGAGGCCTTCAAACTGTACGAGGATGGAGAAGACGTGCTGATCTGCATCATCCGCATGGGAGAGTGACAGAATTCAAACTATTTGGCGTTTCTCTGGCACAGAAAACCATGTTTCGATTTGTTCCACGATGTAAACCAAATTCTCTTGTTGTTGTTATTGTCTTCAGGAGATTCAATGCAATGTTCATAGCAAATAGTAACCTCGGATGTATCATGAAGCATTGCATTTTGTGAATATACACACCTCAGTTTCATTGCTTGCTATTACTCTAGTTAAGTAACCTTTAGTTTGCTGAGTGCTTATGGAGCAACACAACACATCTGCAATTACAATAACTTGTAATTATAATAACTTTATAGACTATTTAGTTAGGGACTTTGGGTATAATGTGACAAAATCCCTCTCCAAGTCATCCAACCTTCTCGCCGCAGCTTCTTCCTCCTCATCACTAATCACTATGTTTGTATGAGGAGTATCTTCCTTAGGAGTGAATAAGCGTCCCGTGTACACATAAAACACAAGTTTTACCAACTCTAGAGCCCCAAGAATGATCCAATAGTCGTAAGAAGCCAACAAGTTTGGCAATGAATATTCCAGCACAGGGGCAATGAGAATGTACAATAACACCACTTTGAAGTAGTGATGGAAAATCATATACTTCTTCAAAACAGCGGCAGCCTTGTTATGAGTTCGGGCCATCAACAGGTTCTTCATTGCAGACAAAGGCGAGAGCATCAATGGACATAAGCAGGCAGAGTTAGAAAACACGGACACCGATGGCCAGAAAGTATCCCCCAAAACATATAAGCCAAGCCAGTCTTATCACCCATAACACGGGCCACATTCCCAACCGCGAGAAGCGAAACCAAAGCCACGAGAGTACACTTATCCCTTGCTTCCAATCTTGATCGCGGCCTCGTCTTCGAAAGCTGCCATTGAGTGCACCCAAATAGAACTATCACAGTGTGAAAAGAGACCGACCCAAAAAAAACTTGATGTGTAACACCATAAATCCCACCACCACGTAGCCGACCCCGTTCGGTCAATATACCACTTGTGCATAGCTTCACAAAACATATTCAGGGCCTTCAAGATCAGGGTAACTAACATGTAGTAATGAATCCAAGAAAACCGTCGCTTTTTCTCCAACATTCCATGGATCCAAAGGACCGCCAAACTGATATAAATCTGGGCAAACATAATATAAACTCTGGGTACCATTGGGCCAGCCATGAGATAATTAGGGTTTTCCACTCGATTGTACATTGCAGAGCGGGCATTCATAGAGACCTTCACTTTCCCAGAAAGGCAATTTGCGAATACCAGAGTGTATTGAGAGGGTTGGGCGGGGCGGGGCGAAGAATATTCCACTCGTCGGAGGATGGGGGGATCTGATCGAGGGTTAACACCTTGGGTCGGGCACGGGGAGGAGGGAGGGACGGGTAGTGTTGAGCTCCAATTGCCCGCCCCTGGTGAAGAGTAACAAGTTCAGAGGGATCGCTGCCTGGCCATCTGCCCTGATTTTAGCATGCCGGATTTCGCCGGCGACGAAAGGGGAACTGGTGATGAATAATAGGGAAAGGATTGATGTGATTTGAATGAGAACTGGGGTTTCCATCGACGGCGACACGGACGCCGGCGTGGGCATCTTGTGTATTTATATATATAATATATACTCCCGTATCTCCTAACCATGCTGTTCTCCATTAATATGGAGGATTTGGGTTTTAACTGGGGAGGATCTTCTTCCATTCTCTTCTCATTGAAACCCACACATCTTTTCAGCAACTTATTTTCAAATTATTTTATATGAAAAATGATGTAAAATTAAAAGATAAAAATTACATATTGAAAAACTACAAGAAAAGATTTACAAAATTGGAGGTGATATAACTATATTACTTTATCAAATATGACACGAAAATAGACCAACAAAGTGAATAAAGTTTAACCATATAAATAATGTATGAAAATTTTATTGTTGGACGAACGATAAAGTAATTTTTTATACATATTTTCGTTAATTATTTGATAAAATAATATAATTATGTACCTATTATTTTGTAGAATTTTTAATATAATATTTAAATACTCCGTATATAATTTTTATTTTTTTATTTATACCTATAATCAATTAAATTAAATTAAAATAATTTCAATAAACCTCATAAACCGAATTAAGAAGAAAATTTTAGGACGAAGGGATTACATGACATTAAAATTTGTGAATATTTTTTTGAGAGGAAGTATAAAATTACAATAATTTTTTTACAACATTTTTGTACAACAATGTAATTAGAGTATTTACGGTACTCCATTTGTAAAATTGATGTTTCCTAGTCTCTAACACCTTCCTAAACTCCTACCTCCGTCCTCATCCCACCCCCTCTCTTAAGTCATATTTTATTTCATTATTTCCTTTAAAGCTTACACTTTAAAAAAATTAGAGGGTGGCCAAAACCGGCCGGTACGGTACTGGGACCGTCCGGTCCGGTGACGGTAACGGTATCTAGGGGTGGTGGTACCGGAACCGTCCCGGCACCGTGCCGTGTCCACCCTAACTGTGTTATTTAAGAATGAGTACTACGTTATTTTAAAATGAGTACTACCTTATTTCAGAATGAAATTCCGAAATGAACGTTTATATTTGTGCGAGAATGACTACTACTTTACTTTAGAATGAATACTATCAGGTGCGGTTCTCTAGGTACATCCGGATATACCATATACCTTATGGTAGTTCCATTAATTCTTTAATTAGTGCCCCAAATTTTTTGTATTTTTACCATTCTTGACACATCTTATTTCGAAAAAACATTTTATGTAGTTTTTAAATACGTAAATTTTAATTTTTATTGTTTTTCATGTATGTTTTATTTATTCTTTTTCTTTTTTCTACTATTTTTTTATAATTTTTTTAATTTCTTTTTTAAAATTACTTTTTTATAATATTTTAATCACCAATTTTTTTTGTGTTTGCAATAAAAATCAATTAAATAACAAAAATTAACGTACACTTCATTTGTCTCAAATTTAATATTTTTTTTCAAAAGAGGTCTTTATTGGTTCATTTTCATGATCCGAAAATCAATGAAACATTCGCTTTTTTCACTAAAGCTCGTTTTTCATTTTATGTTCATTAATTTTGTATCGTTTAATTAATATATAATTGATTGTATATTAAAAAGACGTTACCCAATATTCTTTTGGTTACGACATATTCAAAAAGATAAAAACTTTTTTAGGCGAAAAACAAAAATATTTAATTTGCTAACTGAAATGTATGTTAAATTTTTATTTCAAACACAATCATTTTTCTAAAACTTTTTTTAAGATGTAGGTGTGAAAAAAAATATTCATTATTTCACACACAAACCGTTTTCTTCTCTTTATGAAAAAATGAAAAAAAAACAATAAAGAAAAAAGAGAGAAGGCGTTGGCGCCCATTTCCAAAATCATAAAGGGTAGCGGAGTTATTCACCTAATATTTGAAAGATATTTTTGTCCAGATGTGCATCGGCGTAGCATTACCAGAACCATAAAGAGCAACGACTTAAAATTTAAAATTATGGAAATAACGATGCATATTTACAAAACTATAGGGGATCGGTGTTGGTGCAATATAATAAACTCAAGATGGGCCTTGTATATGAGCCAATGAGTTACAAAAAGATTGCATGATTTGCTGAATGGAAGAAGATCCCCTGCAGTTAAACCCAAATCCTTCATTAATGGAGAATATAGACCATGCTTAGTAGGCTATATATATACTACTCCATACTCCGTAATATTATCTGTTTCAGAGTAAAAACCTCTTATCAAGACAAACTAATTTGCTGGTGGGGACAAACCTGTAAAGGTAGGTTAATGGAAAAGTTTATAAGGTATAGTATTTCTCAGTTTGATTTTTTAGAATTAAATATGATAAAATTTAGATTATAATTAAATAAAAATGGTAGTGTATTTTACTATAAAATATATTTCTATAGATTTATCACTATTAAAATCTTAATTTATTCTAACATGTAACACAAATTAAGAGTAATTGATCTTTAACGTTCATTTAGTTTGACTCAAAAAAATTAGATAAATACAATGAGACGGATGAAGTATTTCTTAGGGCATGCCCGCTTGGGAGGGAGAAGAGGGGATGTTATGAATGGTTAGGAATGGGAGGACTTCCCATAACCGGTCCCAAAAATTTTATGGTCTACATGAAAAAGGTCTCTTAAACCGACCGAATAATTTATACTCCATACCGAGTATGAACTTATTTTGTGAATATTATTAGATGTTTTAAATTAATATAGTATTTTAATTTGTTTTTACACTCATCCATCTAATTTTCAATATCATTTTGCATATACTATCACACTTTTTTAATTTTTTAATTTATTATTTTTATTACTATTCAAGGTTAATATGAATAAATAATAAATACTAAAACAGTAAGACAATCCTCGCATTTTTAAAAGACTAGGTAAGGTGTTATTATATAATACCAAAGTATATTACACCTCAAACTTGTATTTAGTTGATTGAAACGGGAAAAAGTAGAAGGTAAAATTAATTATAATATATTAAATTATAATTAAAAATATTTATTTATTTTTATTGATAACAATAAGTTTTTTTGTAAGCATTTATATATATTTATATTTATTAATGACAAAATATATTGTAGTGTAATATGTATAAAAACGTTAGGCCCCCGAAATAAATGATCTTGGTCTAGTAGGGTAACTTGGCCCTAAGACTTCTCATCTCCTTTGTTAGAATATACTAATAAGAAAATTCTTGGATCACAATTACGAACTTAAATTTTTGGTTGATTCGATTTTTTTACAACTTTGTTTGGTTGGAGGAGGATAAGAAAAACTTTACTTTTTTATTTTTTAATATTTTACTTTTATATTTATAGTTTTTTATAATTTTAATTTATAATTAACTCCCTCCGTCCCAATATCCCTTTCATGTTTTGAGTTTTATGGAATTTAAAGGTATTTTTATGTTAACTTTTAAAAAATATCTTTGATATAATAAGTAAAAATAGAATGTGAAGAGGAGATTATTAGGATATAGATTTTATGTCATAAATAGGGTAGAAATTAATAAAGGTATAAGTAATTTTTTAATAAAACGGATAAAGAGATTTTGATACAATGAACAAAAGAAAGAAGAAAAGGATTTTGAGACAAATTTAGTATTATTTTTCATTATTAGTATTTTAAAAAGTTAAATTTTTATTTTATTTTTTGGGTTTTTACTTTATTTTTTTATTTATTTTTATTATTTTTTATTTTGTTATATATTTAAATAATTTTATTTATTATTATTTTTATTTTAAATTTTTTTCATGACCAGAGGAGAAAAAATTTATAGAAAATGAGGAAGGAGGAGGGAAAGAGAACCCCTCTGATTTGGGGGATTGATTCCATTCAAAGGGCAGAGAGGTATTAGAAGCAAAAATTATCTCATATAATCTCATGTTTTGAGATCTTTTAAAAATAATCTCAATTTCCACGGTCATCGGAAAAGATTTCACATTCCTCCATGTGTGCAAGTTTTGGATTGCTGTAAAAAACTAACGAGACTTAAGAGATGCATGTTATATGCATATAAATTAAATGTAAGGTTATTTTAAACAAATTTTCTTTTTTCATTTTTAAATTTCTAACATTAAATTTAAATGTATTTTTTAAAAATATTTTTGTAAATAATACTCCATAAAATTTAAATGTTTTAGAGTAAAACTAATTATTTTTTTTCAATAATCAATAATCTGGTAATAATTGAACAACAAATTATTCTACATAATGAGGCTAATTTATTTACTTCATAACTCACTATATGTTTTGTAAGTTGCAATTATTTTTTTGTGCGATACTTTGAATTGTTTTTTGATACTATACTATTATTATATATAAAAAAATGGCACTACAAAACTTGTGAATAATTTTCGATAATTCTATATAATTATTTTTGCAAAATTAATATAACAACACTTGTAAAAATTACACAATAATTTTTTCACTGAAGTAGAATTTTATTTTATTTTTATAATTCACTACATCTTGTACTTGTACTGCCATTCATTCGTTTTTTGCATGTGAGTGTATATTTGAAGGTAATTTTTGGAGTGACACGGTCAATGGAGACCCCAGTCGTCGTCCTCTTCCTCGTGATTTGGTCGCCGGCGAAGTCCGGCATACTGAGATCAGAGCGGACGACCGCGCGGCGATACCTCTGAACGCGTTCTTCTTCACCAGGGGCGGTGAATTGGAGCTCAACATCACCCGCCTCGCCGTCCTCCCGGTGCCGGATCGCGCCTCCCTATCGAAGATTGGCTTCGTCCTCTTGCCCCCCGACTCATGGAACGACTTGTCCTTCGGAATCCCTGAACGCAACGCTACTTGTGCCTTGGAATATCCTGGCGCCTTCAAGGTGTTAACTCTCGATCAGATCCCGAAATCTGCCCAGTGGAATCTTCTTCGACCCGCCCCGGCCAAAGACTCCCAATACACGTTGGTCTTCGCAAACTGCCTGGGAGTGAAAGTCTCCATGAACCTTCGCTCTGCAATGTACAACCGGCTTGAAAGCGGCGGCGGGGGAGGGGGGGCTACTGTGAGTTATCTCATGGCTGGTCCAATTCTGCCCCAGGTTTATTTCCTCTTCGCCCTAATTTGCTCCGTTTTGGTGGTAATTTGGGTGATTACTGTATTGGAGAATAGGGTCCATGTTGCCTGGATTCACTATTACTTGCTGGCCACCCTGCTGTTGAAGGCACTGAACTTATACTGTGAAGCTCTGCAAAAATGGCATATAGACCGGTCCGGGTCACCCACAATGTGGCTGGATGCTTTGTTCTACGCATCCAGTCTGCTGAGGGCAATCTCTTTCTACACCGCGGTGCTTGTGATCGGATGCACCCAGTGGCAGATTTTGAGGCCGCGATTCCGACTTCGGGCAAGGGACAAGGGTGTTTTGGCCATTTTGGTTTCGCTGCAACTGGTCGCGAATGCAGCCCGTGTGATGAGTGACAAGGCGGCTGGGTTGTATGGCGAAACTTGGTGGCTGCCCGTGTTTGCGTTTGTCAACTGTGTCTCTCTGTGGCTGTTGGTGTTCTCTCTTTGGTCTGCGCTGAGGAACCTGCTGACAGTCCGGACCCATAAGAGGGCTACGGTTGTGTTGAAGAAGTATGAGCTCTTCCGTCACTACTTCACTGTGGTGGTGGTATACATTCTGTTCGGTCCCATATTGGAGTATTTGCTCCTGGTCTTTGCTGCTGCTTCTTCTAGCGAGTATTATTGGCTTATTTCCGTGGCTTTGGAGTCGGTCACACTTGCATTTTATGCCTATACTGGATACCTGTTCGCTCCCAGGAAAAACAGTCCTCATCATCATCACATTCAGTGCTTGCTGAGGGAGGAGGATGAAGAAGCCGCCGCGGCTATAAGGTTGGGTGAAGAAGAAGATGATTATGCCACACTATTCTCTCTGGTGTGAAGCTAGCTTTGGCACTTCTGTTAATAATTTATGACTTAGCTTGTTAGGACGGAGGCTCTGGCTGGCTGGCTCCCGGCCTTATAACTTACTTTGTTAGGCTCTGTCTCTGGCTCCCTTATTAGTCACTCTAGCTTGTATGAACTCTTCCACATCCGGGAATGACATAGTATATATTTATATTGGGTCACTTTTGTCTTAAATTTATTTTGTTTTGGCTGGCCTTTTGGTGATAAATATCAGATTGTGCTACAATAGTTTTTTTATTTTGCTAGAAAAACAAATCCAAAAGAACTAACAAAATTTGCACCAGGGAACATGGAGATTTTCTTTTAGTTGTGTTTCATCAAAAGTTGCACCATGGAGATTATGCATCCCTAGGAGTATATAACTAAAATTAATGTGCTTTCAAAAAATACTTGTATCACACCCGTGCGTTGCACGGATCATATTTACGTTAGTAAATTATATTAACACCATTTTTGAAAGATACAAATTGATAATAATCTAAGTGGTGTTTACCAATTAACAACACATTGTCACCAAAAGTCAATTTCTGAATCCCATAAATTTGTAAAGAAAATTTCATAATTTGTGAATGTATACGTATTTTAGGTTAATTATAATAAAACAACGTAACTAACATCTGAATCATTAAAAATTACATCTAAGGATTAGGGTCCCCCAGCATGGGCGTGGAAATGATGAACTCTTATCACTCTTAATGTAAGAATCAAAACTAATGACCTCTCACTAATATTTTTACATTTGTTAACAATCCCAAGTTACTCGAAATGTAGAATCGAATGATTATATAATATTTAATATAATAAGAACTTAATAAGAACTTTAAGACTCAAAACGTAGTTCAAAGAGGGTAATTACAAAAAGAGTTTGAGAATGTCCATATGTATCGTAGGAAAATTTTAATTTCTTTCTCTATTTCGGATTTTGTAAACTTTTTTTAATTTCCGGAATCAACCTAGTCAGCCTAGCCTTTTAATAAAAATGGAAACTTATTGGTACGCTATTTTTTTTTGTATTCTCCCAACCAACAAATGGAATAGTAAAAATTGCTTACCAAAATTAATGCTTACGCAGTATATTTTTTGTTTTCCTAATTTGTGTTCCATTTTGGAATTTGATACTTACCAAAAACTTATGCATACCAATGTATTTAATTTCTTTTCCTATTTCAGAATTTGTAATTTTTAAAAATTTCAGAATCAGCCTAGTCAGCCCAGCCCAGCCTTCTAATAAAAGTGAAAACTTATTAGTATGCTATATTGTCTTGTATTCCCCGAACCAAAAAATGGAAACATAGTAATCCGTAGAAGATAAAATCGATTAAAGAAGTGCATTGAATGATGTGCAAAAATGAAAGTGGACAAATACTCAGGTATGGAGGGAGTAGTATATACTCCGTATTTATATTGGGTCACTTGTCTTAAATTTATTTTATTTTGGCTGGCCTTTTGGTGATAAATATCAGATGGTGATAAATTCACGTTGGGAGATGTCATCATACTCTAACATAATATCACAGTGCAAATTCCTATTTTAGAAATAAAAACATGAAATTCTTATTTTGAGAAAGAATGTTATGTTTTACGGAGTGCTTCTATTTTGAGTAATTTCTTAACTCAACACTCTTCATTAGGTTCATTTTTTCATGGAATATCAAAATATCAATACTCCGTATCATTTTTTTACCTGAAAAGGTGTCACACCGCGATTTTCGCTCCGCCATTCCACACTATCACCGGCCATCAAAGCGTCACTATAACACCATGATTTGTATAACCCGGTGTAGCGGACCGAAGCGCTTACAATTTGGTAAAATAACATCTCGTAGTTTAAAAGTATAAATAGTAATTTAAGAAAACAATTTAGTTGTTTGTGTTGGCTAATTAATGGCTGGTGGAGTTAGTCGTAGGAGTGAGCATGGTATGGTATGGTACGGTATTTAGCTCGCACCGATACCATACCAAATATTTCAGTTCGGTATGAGATTTTACGTTGTACCGATCCTGATCCCAGAAGCATCAGTTCAGTATGGTTCGAGATGATTCAGTATCAGTTTCAGTACGAAAGTAACAAAACCTTTTGTTTTTGAAAAATTGAAAGTACATTTAACCAAAGAAAGAAAAAATTTAAAAATGAAAAAATTATATACAAGAAATGCTTATGAAAGTTAGTTTATATTTCACAAACTAAAGAGAACGAGTGATAACAAAGTATTATTTTGAATACTTGTTAATATTCTTATACTCATCTACAAAAAAATAAAAAACTCTTGTTAAAGTGCAACTTAAACATAATGAAATTAAACTAAATTTCTATATAAATTTTTTATTTAATGAAGAAATATAAAAAGATTATATATTATTTTTAGAATATATTAGTATATATATGTTCGGTTCGGGAATTTCGGTATGGGAAGTAACCTCATACCGTTCCCAAATACCGGACCAATCGTTCGATTCAGTACGGTTCAGTTTCTTTTCGATACTTTATCGGTTTGGTATTCTTAATTTTTTTGGGGAAATATCGGGATCGGTTCGATCCTTGCTCACCCCTAGTTAGTTGTGTTGACCGGCCGGTTACATTAGTTATTCATAAAAAATGTGTTTGGTAAACTAGATGGTTTTAAATAGCTCTTGCCTCTTGTAGATGTTATTATATTTAAAACTTAATTTTATGTGTATGATTTGTATAATGTAATATAATTTATATAACATGAGTTAAAGAATAATAAAATATAATATGTTGTGAAATATAATATAATACAATTCATATATGAATTTCTAGGTTACTATTTAAGAGTCAATATTTTTTGTTTACCTAGTTTTGCTAATAAAAAAGGACAAGCATTTCCTTCCATTTTAATGTATTATGATTATTCAAAAATTTTTATTTATTATAAAATTTATTGAATATGTACATTTTTTATTTTTGTACCGATTTTCAAATAAAATAATTTTAAAAAATATTTTACCTCGTAAATTTTAAGTGAATTTCATTTGGGGAATGAGAAGCTAGATATCATTTAGTCATTTATTTATTTATTTATTTTGAAATAGTCAAAAGCTATCTGAAAAGTCAATATCCAAACATGCCTTATGTGTTTTTTGGCCAAATAAATTAAAAAATTAACGAATTTCTTAGGAAAAAATAAAATTTTTTAATTTGAGACAAATGATGTTGTCCGTGTATACGTTCTTCTTAATTTATTTCATTGGATTTTTATTTCAAACACACACAATTTTAATTTTTTAAAATTAAAAGATAGTTTTAAAAAAATATTAAACATTTACGGAAAAAGAAAGTAAAGGAGAGAGGCAATAAAGAAGAAAAAAAGGGGGGGGGGGTGTCATTTTATATTTTTGAAACAACATGAGACACGAGAATTTTTTATTAAAAATTTGAATGATACTCCGTATTTTAGTGGAAGAGACATTAGCTTAGAAATGTCAAAATGAGTATGGAGAAAAGGGAGATGCTAGGGGTACACCAATTTTTGTGGTCAAGGAGGAGGTGAGACATTTAAGGTACAATTTTGGTGTACCCTAACATTTCACGAGAATAGCACATGTTTTAAATACATGTTTTAATGGTGCACATTTACCAAATTACATGGGAAACATTGATTCAACAAATTCTTATATAATACTTCCTTTCCAATAAAGAGTTTGTTTGAAAATAGCGTTAGAGATTGATGTTGGCGTTTTGGATAAAATTTTAATAGACAGATTAATTTTAAAAACGATGTCCATAAATAATCTTTTCAAAATGCTAATGTTAATACTCACTCATGGAAAATAATTAAATCTGGACATATAGACAAAATACTCACGGAGTCATGGGGCAATAATTTTGTCAGTTTAATATTTATTGGGTTCGAAGATCAAGGAAGAATCATATGGGCATAATTTACTTCCTCCCATTATAATTAAGTTGCATGGAAGAATTTACAAAATCAAATTTCAAATAATTTTGTTTCTCTTGAAATTTGCTGAAAAATTGTATTTTCATTGATTAATGATGTGAGGAGTACATGTATATATATACAACATCTCAATCCTAGTTATGGTAGGAGAGGTATTCTAGGAAAGCTATACAAGTATGGAAACAAATCATAATACAATAATATTAAATATATTTAATATATTTAACATGCTCCCGGCTACGTCGGATGTGCTGGGGGTCGGATGCCCATGCTTTCTCTGAAGTCCAGAAATAAGAGAGAAGGCAGTGCTTTTGTGAAGATATCGGCGAACTGAGAGGATGAAGGAACATGAAGGACTTTGATCTGGCCAAGCGCCACTTTATCGCGTACAAAGTGTATATCAACCTCGACGTGCTTGGTGCGCTGGTGTTGCACCGGATTTGATGATAGGTAGACAGCACTAACATTGTCACAGAAGACGAGTGAGGCGCGACGGAGTGGTTGTTGCAGCTCAAGAAGAAGATTCCGGATCCAGCAGGTCTCTGCAACAGCGTTGGCAACGCCCCGATATTCTGCCTCGGCACTAGAACGAGAGGTGGTGGCCTGGCGTTTGGAAGACCAGGAAACGAGGTTGTCGCCCAGAAAAACACAGTAACCTGATGTGAAGCGTCTGGTGTCAGGGTAGCCAGCCCAATCAGCATCGGAGTAAGCCTGTAAATAATCGGTGGCGGATCGTGTCAGATGGATCCCGTGGGTGGCAGTGCCACTAAGATAGCGAAGAACTCGCTTCATGGCAGTAAGATGTGCATCGCGTGGTGCATGAAGGTGTAGGCAGAGCTGCTGAACTGCATATGTGATATCAGGACGAGTGAAGGTGAGATACTGCAATGCACCAACAATGGACCTGTAAAAGGACAGATCGGGTAGCGTCGAGCCAGCTGTGCTAGATAGTTTCGCCTTTGTGTCCACCGGGGTAGAGATGGGGCGGCAAGAGACCATCCCTGCCCGCTCGAGGATATCATGTGTGAACTGAGTCTGGTGGAGGAAGAGGCCGGTGGCTGTGCGCTGGACATTGATCCCAAGAAAGAAGTGCAGGTCACCCATGTCTGTCATGGAGAATTCAGCCTTAAGCTGCTGAATGAGGCTCTGAAGCCGTGCCGGGGAGGATGCCGTGAGTACAATGTCATCTACATACAGAAGCAAATAGGTCGTGCCCTTGGGCTGTGAGAAAATGAATAGGGAAGTGTCAGCCTTGCATCCTCGGAAGCCGATGGTCTGTATGAAACCTGCAAATGAGGGCGACTGGGGTCCTGAAACCCAGACGGCTGGCTGGCATAAACGGTCTCCTGTAGCTGGCCATGAAGGAACGCATTTTTGACATCAAGTTGGTGAATGGGCCATCCACGAGACAGAGCAAGGCTGAGGACGATACAAACAGTGGCAGGCTTGACAACGGGGCTGAAGGTCTCGTCATAATCAACGCCAAAACGTTGGTTGAAACCACGAACCACCCAACGGGCCTTGTACCTGGATAACTCACCTGAGGGGCCAAATTTGTGTCGAAAAAGCCATTTACCGGTGATAAGGTTTTGGGAGGGGGAGGGGGGAACTAATTCCCATGTGTCATTCTTAATCAAGGCATTAAATTCATCACACATAGGAGCGTGCCAGTTTGGATCTTTTAGTGCACTACGGTAGGTTGGGGGTAAGGGGGAGATGGGAACAGAAGTGTTGAGATTAAGGATTTGTTTAGGGCAGAAAATACCGGCTTTGGAGCGGGTTTGCATGGGGTGGTTGTTGGATGTCG